GCCCGAAAAAAATAGTCACCTAGCTTTGGTCACCCAACTTCACACACGTAATTAACAAGGGGGACTTAAGTCCTTTTAAGACTTTTTTTTTTTTTATTAAACTATGCTAAAATTGAATGTTTTGAATTACAACATCAATAGTCATTACAGTTATATACTTGTATAAAAAGTTAAAATGTACATAGTCAATCAATAAATATGCTATGCATGTTTATTGAATTATGACTCTGAAGTGAGTACCTACATTAAAAAAAAAACAAAACAATTTTGAAAGTTTTATTTTATTATTACATTATATATTAATATTCTTAATATAAATAAACGTAGGATTAATACAATTTACCAAGCTTTCAAATAAAAAACATTTTATTTTAATGTACCTACTCTTATGATAAATGTAAGTCAATTCTACGTTTATTTGTACTGAATATATTTAAAATATCTTCAGTTTTTATTTCTGAAGTTAAGTCTCGTTCAATTTGTACTACAATTTGTTCAATATACTATTTTTAATTTTACGTTATTTTAAAAGCATAGACTATTAGAATTAGATAAAAGAAAACTAACCTAACGTAGGGGGACTGAACCACTAATTGGGGGGACTATAGTCCCCCTAGTCCCCCCTCATCCTATGCCCATAGGTAGTATTAAATCTTTTCTCATAATCAAAAAATATGAAAAATACATTAACACAGTTTTATTTTGAAGACATTTCAAGTTCAAATTTGAATTAAACTAGATATTTTAACAATTTTTGTTATTTTGTTATAATTTAATAGTATTATTTTTGGGTATTTGATACTTTTAATATCTTTATATCATTGAGTTCAATATTAATACACACACTGACCACTACAGTGACCCATGTTGCCACGTCACACACATCACCTAAATGTATAGCAGAGCAATAATTGTCAACTTTTTTCTATAGTTTGCATTTGACACTGCAGCTATGTATAATATTTATGGTATCTATGGTATTTAAAAAGTATTGGAATGCATAGATACATCATTTATTGGCAGGTATAATCAAATCATACAGTATTTTTCAGCATTTATTTAGCATTACTCTATGAATAAAATACTATAGACATCTTTAGTACCAATTTGATATAATGATATTATGAGAGATCACCTAAATTTATTTGACCATGTTATTTTTGAAAATGTTGACTATATAGTTGTAAATTATGGATTAATCGATGTAAGAACCAAACAGTAATTAATGGGTTTCATACATTTGGATTACAAAAAATAAGAAAAAATTATAGAATTTGCTCAGAACATTTTAAAAGAGAAGATTATATTATTTGGACAGATACTAAAAGGTAAACTAGTATTATTTATATGCATATATATAACATAATATCAATATGGCATGTACAAAATATATGCCTTCATACTTAGCATAATATTTTTTTTAATGTATTAAATATTTTAAATACTAAAATATTACTTGTTATAACTAAGTCCTTATCTTTAACCAATATGTAATGAAATACAATCGAAAAAAAAGTTAATGGGGCTGTTCCTAATATTCTGAATTAGAGTAAAAACTAATCTTATTTCAGAATATTACACAAAGATTCATTACCTAATGATGAGGTACCCGAAGACCAGTCACTATTTGCAGGTACCTCTACTAATACAAATGATGATTTCACTGACAATGATTTTGCTTCAGACTTAACGTCCGACCAAATGGTAACCAGAAAACCTGGTTGGAGTCCAATTAAGCCAAAACATAACAATGGTACATTTATAATAACTTTTTGTAATGTCTGATATATTTACCACAGTTAGTAAATATGTTTATTCCTTGTAGATTTAAGTTATGTGTCAGAGACATCATCTGCACATAAATATGAAAATGGTCAAACCTCTACAGTTTTGAACTTAGAATCTGAACAATTAGATACCAAAATAGATGAATCACTTACATCACCCAAATTTTTTGACACCAGTAATTGAAACAATTTTAACTTAGTAAAATAATACTTGCAAACAATGAAGTATACATGATTATTCATTTTCACTTGTAGGTCAGTGTTTTAGGATTCCAGTACACAAATATTCAAAGACCAGAAAGTTATTTAAAATGCCACCTACCTTAGGATTTGGTGACACGGACTGTAATTTTTTCTAATTACATAAAAAAATTGTATTATATTTTAAAGAATTTTTTTATATATTTTAATAGGTCAACCATTAGTAAAAGGTCACAGTTTGGAATTATGCAAGACTAAAACAGATATTCTGAAGAAAACTATTAGAGCCTATCAAAAAAAAGTTTCAACTAAGAACTCGCAATTATTGAAACTAAAAAAAAGGTATAAAGATAAATTAAAAAAACTGAGGACTTATGAACTCACATATTCTTCTATCCAGAATAATATTTTATTTAAAATACTGTTGTACCTATTGTTTTAACACTTTGAATATAAAAAACACGGACTAAGATATATCTTAGTCCGTGATAAAAAATTTGAATATCTGAATTAACATTGAAGTAATGAAGTCCAGGATTATTAAAGTTTTAATTAAAAAATATGATAACAGTTTTTTTCTTATTATATGTCGGCTACGCCCAAGGATTTCTCATATAGGGAACCACTATGATTTTGGAATTTGGGGGGATATGTCGCAAGCATTTTAACATTCACTGTCCCGTATTCTTATCTATAGTATTTGCAGTTTATTATAACATCTACTGCGCATGTGCGTAGCACATCGGGTCCTGTTGATCAGCGCAGCCTGTCAAGACCACGCGAACCACACTCTTGTTCCGTCTATTTAGTATAAGGTCTATTCACGATGTAGAGAAGATAAGGTGACACCGCTCCCGTATCTTTCAATGGTACAATATTGGCGCAAAAAATCACGGCAGTTTGGTAGTTCAGAATTTAACACCAGAGTACGCCACCCTTCGTTCGAAGGCCGACTTTTATACGAGTCGTAATGGAGATAGATTTAAATTTTATTTAAATGTATTAATTATTGTTGTTCAAATGTCGATAGTCAGCTTGCCAACATAATATATTTTATGTTATATTGTATAGATTATTAAAATAAACTAATGTTTTGGAATCATGTACCAATTATTATGTAAAAATTGTAATAATATTATATGGTATGTAGCCATATCGTATAAATTTATTGATTTAAATAAAATGCATATTTATTTTATGATATTTATATGTTTATTTATTCATTGACCCATATATGTATATGTACAAAAATGGAATTAGTAATATCTACGTACAATAAGTATGGATAAGGACGAGTTTAAACTGTTAATAAAAACTCAAAATATATAGGTACTACTACCGTCTACCAGCTACTGACCCAAGTACACCTAAATAAAAATCATAATTATAGCCTATAGGTACCCATATGATATTGATATATAATAACAAACAAAAAAATTAAATATTAAGCAATGATGTAGAGAAAATATAATATTTACAATAGAGAATAGAATATATTATCAGTTAAAATAATAATATAAACCTAATATAAGTAGTATAAGTAATTGATAATATTCTATTTTTAATTTTAATTTACATAATTGTTTGTATTTACACAAGTCTTAAGAGTTAAGACTCCCTTAATGGTCTGTGCCCTGTGGATTGTTTAATAATATTTCGTATATACTTTCTTATTTTGTTAAAAAATGCCAAACAAATGTTTTGTGCCAGGATGCAAAACTGGCTATGCCAGTTACAACAAAAAGTTAAAAGTAGAAAATAAAAAACCACCTATTTTATTTCGTGCACCAAAGGTGAGTCATAATTTTTAAATACCTACTATAGAGATTTATTTGAGGGAAACATTTGTATAATTTTCTTTACCACCTAAGTACCTCTAAAAGGGCATTATTAATGATACATATTTGTATGTGTTTAATAAAGTAAACTATTTATACAATTTTAATAAATTATAATTTCAGATCAAAATATAGCTTAATTGCAAACCTAATTTTGTTCTATTAAAATATGTAGTAAATATAATTATATAATTATATTATAATATAAATATCCTGAATTCTCTATATTATAAAATAGATAAATTCTGACCTAAAAAAAAAAGTGTACACTGTGCACTATGGAATAAAAATAACTAAGTTGATTTTATACATAATATTTACAAAAAATGTATATAATTTTTGAAATTTTACGTTAAAAACAATGTATTCACAATATAAAAACCGGCCTTCGGGCGAATGGTGGCGCTACCTACCACACTGCCGAGAAAATTTGCGACCGGAATATGTACAAGTGGTGTCACCTTATCTTCTCTACATCGTGGGTCTATTATAATATGACGTGGTAACAAGATATTTTATATCATATCCATAATCGTATTGCGTAACCAAATATTTTTTATCTATAATCGTGGTTATCAGTTTTGGTTTTTTTAATTTTAAATATGAAATATGAATATGTTATTAAATATTTAAATATGCAGACAGCCTGAGTGGCGCCTGACCGGTAGTGTATTATTTTACAATATTGAACAAAAATACAATATACACATAACACATTAATCTTATACAATAGTACAATACGATTGGGTCAAAATTCCAATAATAAATAAATAAAATTCGTTATCTTGACTAATAAAAAATCACGATAAATCTTAAATCGTTTTTAAATCTATTGGATGATATGTTATTCGAGTGATATGCCTCTACTCATGACAAAATAAATTGATTATTTATTTAGTCATATCCATATGCCTACTTCTAAGCATCTATGATTTGCAGCACGAATTAAAAAAAAAACTTATCTATGGCATAACCTAGTTGGTCAATTAACATTTTACGTGTAACTTATTTGACTTTGACTTTACGACTATCAAATTTTTTCTTCTGTCTGACTGTCTGAGGTAGTTTCATTATATTGTTAATATTATTTTTATTATTATTAACATTATTGTAGTTGTTCTATCCATTATAAAAATTTATTTTTATTTTTTAGTTAAAAGAAAATTTTGCAGCCATGCTTGAAGTTTTTGAGTTGCAATGTTTTATTCAAAATTACTTGTGGGGGAAAAAAGGTTTTGCTAGTGAAGTTAGCCGCCTGAGTTTAGCTGGCCAACATATAGATTCTATAGATGAAAAACAGTTCTACGCTGAATTATGGATGGGCGCTCTTCATAAAAGTCCTTCGTTAGTAAAAAGCTCTGGGCAGAAATTGAGTGAATGGATTAAAAGCAACAATGAAGCGTTGGGCGAAAAGTCTAGATTGAAATTTGGTGATGAATTGCCATTTCTAATGAAAGTGTTATCAATAAACTCGGCCCTTTCCATCCAAGTGCATCCATCTAAGGTAAAAATATATTGATAAGCTGTGTCAACATTATTATTTTTACCTTATTAATTTAGGATTATGCTGAAGAACTACATAAGCAATATCCTGAACTATATCAAGATTCTAATCATAAACCAGAAATGGCTATTGCACTTAGTAACTTTGAAGGACTTTGTGGTTTCCGTCCATATTCTGAAATTAGATTTTTTTTAGAAGGTAATTGTATATTATGTTTTTAGAATATAGTAATTTTTATCATAGTAATTAATTTTATGTCAATTAGAAATACCGGAATTTAAATTAATTCTTGGAAGTGACCTTATTGATCAATTTAAAAAAGATACTACCAATTCACAAAATTTGCTTAAGGACATATTTTATAAGTTAATGTCATCTGAAAAAGGAATTATAAGCCAAAACCTCAGCAGCCATAAAAAAAATCTGCAATCGCTATGTAAGTAATGTTGTTTAAATGAAACCATCAGGCTTTTAAGAGTATTAACATTTGTTTCTACTATTTGTTTGAATGGCAAACAAATAAACACTGAAATTAAAATTATTAAAATTGTATTTGTATTAATGTGATTATGAAATTATATTACAGGTGATGATAAAAAAAATGTATTCTTAGCAAAACTATTTAATCAACTCGATTGTTGGTTTCCAAACGATGTTGGATGTTTCTGCATATATTTTTTAAATTATATTCAACTCTCACCAGGTCAAGCAATATATTTAGGAGCTAATGAACCTCATGCTTATATCTATGGTGGTCAGATTTCTTCAATATTTTATTTCATTTTAGTTAAATGCTTTAAAATTGAATAACTGCTTTTAGTAACAACTTATAATTTATATTATTATGTACTTGGGGATAAAGGGATAAAGAAAAAACAATCTACTATCAATCTTATAATCTATTGATCATATTAAAAATGTGTTTGTTTAGATTGCGTCGAATGTATGGCTTGTTCTGATAATGTGGTAAGAGCTGGGTTGACTCCGAAATATATTGATGTAAAGACACTATGTAGGGTACTAAATTTTAATGGGGCGCCTGCTGAATCCAAGTTGTTTTGTGGAGTTAAAGAAAACTCTTATACAACACTTTTTAGACCTCCTGTTCCTGATTTTGCAGTGGCTTGCATTAAAGTACTTGAATACAAAATATAAAATAAAAATTAATAAGCTAACTTATAAATAATTTTTTTATTTTTAAGGTTCCCGCGGATGAAATGTATGAATTGTTGAAAAGAGATGTTGCTTCTATAATTATTGTTGTCCATGGTCAAGGCAAAATAACTGCACCACAAGATTTGATATTATCAACGGGAAAAGTTTTCATGGTACCCGCTAATGTCATACTTCAAATACACGTAGGATTTGAGTCTTTAGAATTATATCAAGCATTTGTAAATTTATAAATAAATTAGGTAGAACAATTATTTGCTCTATACATTGTCTAAGACATTCTTACTGAAATATACTAAATTGTTGTCAAATAGTTATTTTCTTTCTTTTACAATATTAAATATTTATATAAATATTTAAGTTTTAGATAGTTTTAAAACTAATTATAGCAACAACTAATAATATTTAAAATCTTAACTAACTTCACATGAATTTGATTATATTATGTTTTTATGAGAAAAATTGATATATGTGGATATTAAAAAAAACTATCCAACTATCATGACAAGAAATAATTGTTAAAATGTTATTTTTATTGAAATTGGTGTTTAAAATATAATATTTTAGGTAGATAAGTGTACCAAGGAGCCTGTTACCATTTTTATTATGTTATTCAATTTTAAAATAAAAGTTTAAATTTATAAAATTGGATTTCACACATATTATGTACTATTTTTTAAATATTTATCATGCAATTGAGCTTGCTCGTTTAAATCAGAATAAATAGATGGACTTGATAATATTATAATCCCAAGGAAGAGCTGGATGGGCCATTTGAACATTTCAGAAAAACTCTACTTGAAGCATGAACCACATGTTACGACAATTTTGGATCAGTATATAGTCAATAGTGTATTGGTATATACAGGGGCGGATTGGGGAGAGATTCCGGCCCGGGAAAATACAAAGTATACCGGCTTACCAATTTACCAAATATTTAATTTTAGCCAACATAATATTATTATGTATTACTATTTTAACATAACTACACGTTTGGCAAGATATGAAATTTATAAAACTTTATTCGTAGTGTATATACATCGATATCAAATTTATTTTTATTTTTGAACAGTTTATGTTTACACATTTATAATAGTCCAAACTCCAAGTACTTATATATAACACAGTAAAAGTGAATAATTTAAATTACTAATGTTACGATTTTTGTATTTAATAAGAAAGGTTATTACCTATTCAATAATATTTAATAATGCGTTTTTAGACTTAAATAAAATCTTATAATTTACTTCCACTTAATATACCTGATAGGTAAATTAACAGAATCAACATGCAAAATGTATGTGTTTTTTTTTATTTTCTAAAAAAATGTTTTACTGTGGTTTATTCATAATAACATTATGTAGGTACTTCAATTCTAAACAATCAGAAAAATTGTATAGTCTTGTTTTCCTTTAGTATTATTATGTAATATAATATTGAGTAAAATGTTTTGTCTCCGTCTTAGTACAATCTAACAAATTATCTTTCACTATCTGTATTCACCGATCAGCCGAAACGATATAATAATAATATTTAGCTGTAGTAACTAAATATTATAGAAATTATTATATACCTACGTAATGTTACTTCCCTATTATTCAATAATTTATAAATTCGCCTAAACGATCGGTTAATTTCTGAAACAAATGATATATGCTTTACTCAAGTTAATTTTGGATTATTCGCCCAAACGAATGACGCTCAAATTTTTTACACCCGAAATACGTGTACTATACTGTATTAGTATACTGAATTAAAAAGTGTATAAAACAATTTTCGGAAATTTAAACACTGTTCAAAAGTTACAGCAAATCAGGTTGACTTTTTCTATTTTCTACTTCCACGGGATGTCAAGTAAAGTAGACTTTTTCCGAAGTTTGTCGTTACCTAAAGATCACCCAATGTGGTTTTACATAACATATCAAGGGTTGTTTTCGATTTTAACTGTCCTAACTAGTGACCCCGCTATATTACATTTGCTGTTTTTGCTTTTCGAAAAATACTATATTTTTGTTTTCTGCCTCTCATCGTTGCGCCATCATAGATTGCCTACCTGATATACCTACTATTGCATACTGTCCGCAATCCAATTCCGGCAATTCGTATTATCTTATTTTGAAAAATCGGGAAAAAAATGCAAATTTACTGGGCTGGTACCTAATAGGAATTTAAGAATACATAGTTATTTGAAAAAGCGGCCCACCGGGAAAACTCCCGAATTCCCGGTGGCCCAATCCGCCCCTGGGTATACACTATGGTACTGTGGTTTTCTTATACTTAGTACTATTTATTTTTACTAGTATACTATAAGTTTATTTTATTTAAACTGGGTTAGTTCATACAGATATTGATGTTTTTTTTTAATCAATCTGAAAGTAGATAGCAAGATAAGAAAAATTATAATTTTTCTTTAACTCGTTCACCGCGGATGAAACCAAATACCTTGTTATTAAATGCCTTTAAATGCACTACAATTTGTTAAGCGTTACAATTAAACGCTCAGGATAATGGAAAATAAAAAAACAAATAAATTTAAAAAATAAAGTTGGTAGGTACAAATGTACAATTTCCATTTTGTGTTGCAACTATGTTAGATAGATTTAATATCGGTATACATATTATGTCACAAATTGTTCTGAAAAAACTTTGAACAAAAATCCAATATTTTTGGCCTGGTAGATAGTTTACATTTGACATGCCAGCACCCAGCAACATTAGAGTTTCAAAATATTAAATGAAAAATTAAGACAGACGGTAAATAAGTGTTCTTACTTCTTAATTACACTGATTGGTTGTTAATTATTATTTTTATGAATAATAATTGTTTTCATATTTTGCAACAATCATGAATAATGGAATGCTTTTTACAACCAATGTATTTATTTTTTTTAAAGAAAAGAAGATGTTATTCATAACTAGGTTTATAATAGTTAAGAACTACAATTATTTGTTTAACTTAAATGATTTAAAAACAGTAATAACTCAATGTCATATTGCTCAACAGACTAAAAAAACTAAAATATATTTGTATATTTTATAATATGTACATAATGTTAAAATAACATTATTTTTCTTTTACCACAATTCTATTGTTTTACTAATCCTTCTATTTTCTTAAGTACATTATCCGCAGATTGATCAGATAGTTGTTCGCTCCGTTCTTGTCCAAATTCTAAATAAGTAAAATATATCAGGATTTCATAATGACAAATATTTTATCCTAGATTATCATACACATTTTAATAATATTGATTTCCAATTTAAAAACAATCAGATGTATGTACCATTATAATATTGATCGACCTTTATTTATCCTTCCAACATTGCAATTTGTGTAATTTTTATTTTTCCACCAAGTATAAAAGAAATTTTGTCAAATGATACTCACCAAATCGAGCAAAAACTTTTGGTTCCAAACCACTGCATTCGCGCACTAATATGGGAAACTTTGGATTAGCTTTTTTCATCGGTATATAGTATTTTTCTATGAACTGCCTGCAAATAGTTAAACGTATTATCAATCAGAAATGGGTATCTATTGCTCATGCAACCGAAACACTAACCGGACTCCTTTGCTTGAGGGAGATGACTGACATAAGTGCAATCGTAGTTCTTTTAGGTGGCTACCAAACTTAATTGCGGACATGATTAAGATTCGGGTATAAAAAAATATTAAAAAGCCAGCAACTTGTAATAACTTTAAATTAAAGTTGAAAAACGTAATATGGAAGGTATGAACCTAAAAATCATTTTCAAACGATAACACTTATCAACAGAACGAATATTGTGATCATATGGAATATAAATTGTCGAGGGCAATGGCTTACATTTGTTCACTAGATGGCGCTGTCGTACTCCCCTGTCAAAATATGTTAATTTAATCATCAACCGAAAATTTTTTTTGATAAATAAACACAGATTACCTACAGAATTTCGAATGATTTTTAACGGTAGTCCACAGTTTCCAGTTGGCAGTTTTCCCCTCAGATATCCTATTTAACTTTTAAGTTTTAATATTAATTGTTATTAGGTATATAATGTGTATAATAAATATATAAGTATATTCTTATATTATTACACATTAATTATTCGCTTGTACATTTTAAATTAAAATATTATAAGTCTAAGATCTTCTTGTGATTTAAAATATATTGGTTACACAAATTTTTTTTGATGGAATTGGACCAAGCTGTGGTATTACGTCATCTCAAAGAATTAGGGTATGAAAATGTCGAATCTCATTTGCTTCAAAAATTCATGAAAGGTAATTAAATAATAAAAATATAAACATGTACCTATTTTATTACCTATTATATTAGTTGTGTACAAATTAATAAATTATCATATAAATTATTAATATACAAGTATATTTTATAATTTTTAGGTCTGGGCCCAATGTAAGTTTATAGAGGTAGATTACATAGTTGTGCGCACGAGTGCTGCAAATAATGCTTTTGCTGCAACTGATAATTTATTTTTTGGATACTTTTTAAAAAGCTTGTATGAATAATTTTAAATTTGATTGTTAAATGTTGTTCAAATGAAAAATGAAAATAATATTTATCAATGGTAGAAGTCACTTATATAATGTTGGCATAAGCGTGCACATGGGGTCTTCATGGTAGGAACTTGACTACCCTCTGAATTTCCCATCAACAATATTATCATGATGGTCAATCATTTTATTACTTTTTTACCACAGTAAATGAGGTTACCCCATCCAAATTAGTTTTTATGACTTAGGCGTGAATATGAATATAATTTATATGTATGTATGTGTGTGTGTTATGTATGAGTGTATGTCGTATGACTACCCTGTCAGAAATGTCTACTCGCTTGTGAATGTTGGTACACATTTGGACACATTAGTCAACCATGTACCTACATAATTGTATTTACAGGCAATAAGCCAATAACCATTAAATCAGGGCACTGGGCACATTAATAGTTGCCCATAATCAAATATTAATTATCATACAATCAAATGATACAAGTACATCATTTTTACCTCTCACACCTTTTGCCTATGCCATAATGAGGGAAATAAGTGAAAAATGTGGGCTACTTTTTCTTCGGTTGGGCCGGTTAAAAATGTACGCAGCACCAGACACAATATCCTGCACATACCTATGATAGATTAGGTTGTAGAACAATAGCTACTATAATGTTTGTCAATATTATAACTTATAAGACTATTGTTTACAAATAAACCAACTTATGAATTTAATACTATTTGTTTATAATATATTGTATACTATTAAACATAATTTTTTTTTCATTTCTCAGGTATATATTTGTTTTTGTGTTTAGTTTTATCAATATGAAATAATTCTAATTTAAAGATAATTTTTTTTTTAATTTATTAATTAATTAATATATGTTTTGTTTTTTTTTTAGATTTAAAAAAACTTATCAAATATGAAAAACAAAAAACCCTAGTTGAAGAAAAGGAAAATTTTAATGTTGGTTTAAACAAAATAAGTTTATTAGAAGAAAAACAAAAAATTTTATCAAACAATTATTGTAAAAATCAGTGCTGTAATAAAAAAAGTAATGATGTTTTTGAAAGGCTGTCACGCCCAAGTTCAAAAACAAAAATATGTTCCAAAGCAGTATCAACAATAGGAGTTCAAACAGATTTACAGAATACAAAAACTAGTAAGATAGAAAATGTGACTACACACCTACACAATTATATGTAATTGTTAAGATTTTTATATTAAAGAAGCACACAACACCAAAATTCAATTCTAAGAATAATGGTATAGATTTTACATTTCTATTCACATTATTCAATAAGTTATGAGAAATTGCAAAAATACGCTTGACGTCTTTGGGTCCGGCTCATCGTAATTGCGTATCTTATACATGTAAAAGTTCTTCGCTTTATACAACAATTTACCAACCTAAAAGTTTTATTTATGAAATTTAGTTCAGGTATAGATGTGTGATTTGATGTGTTTAAGATGATATAAGTATCAGAATTTCAATATAACGTTTAATTTTTTAAATATTAAAAATCTTAAAAGAGATATATTTGAATTTTTATTTTATATTTAAATGGCCATGACTCGCTGTTTAACAAAAATATCACTTTAAAGATGTATTAATATTTAAAAAACTGTATTGAATTTCTGATACTTTTATCGTTTGAACACATAAAACCACACGTTTATAAGTAAACTAAATTTAAAAAATAAAATTTTTAGATTGACCAATTGTTGTGTGAAGAGAGGAACTTTTACACGTACAAGATAGGTAATTAAGGTGAGCCGGGCCCAGTAATGCCAAGCAGCTATTCTACATTTCTTAATATCTCATAAAGTAATCATTTTTTTTTACAACGGATTTTCACCAAATCATTTAAACTAGCTATACTTACAATAGTTTAACATTTTTTTGTGTTGTGTGCTCCTTTAAGGCTCGGATTTAAATGCACGTGTAATCTAAAAATAACAAAAAAATGAATTTCCTGGAATTGACGACAGATTTCTTCAGAAATCAAGATAAATATGTGAATTGTTTTATTTAAAAACCGGATTAGCTTATGTTGTTTTAGTACAATATGTGTATATTTATATATTATATATTTTTTTTGTAATATTACTAGAAATAGGTTAAAAAATTATGTAAAAATAATAAATAATTCCCTAAAAAAGTTTAAAAATGCATTCAAACGTCAAAAACTTAAAAAATTGGCCCTAAAGAGTTTGATGTTATCATAGCGTGTACTAGAAAATCATTGGGTCAAGCATTCCAAAAAAAGAGAAACTAATGCATCAAAATCCGAACCCTAGTAATTATTGATTTAAAAGTGTTCTAAATTAATATTGAAATACCTATTTAATTGGTCACATGCCTATTATAAAATTAAAATCTAATATTAAACAATGTTATACAGTTTATACCTATCATCTAATATATAGAGTATAATTCTAGGAGAGAACAAATATTTACAAATTTTAAAAAGGAAACAAATGGATCCAGTATCATTACATCAATATTACCAAACAGAATGGCAAAATCATAAAGTGCCAGGTGAAAAAAATCATAATGATCTACGATGGAAAATTAGACAGACTATGATACGTAAATAACTTAATTTTAAATTAATTTTTCACTTAATGTAAAGACATATTTTAGATATTTGACTTAAATTTATATTAATACATAAATGTTTTTTTAATTCATAACATTTAAAAAATATATATCTATTTAGAATTTCTATAGGTATAGATCATAATATTCATTGTATTAAATAATGTACTATTATTAAGTCAATAAATTATGTCATAAATTATATTATGTCAATTAATTGAAATTATAAATATAAATTAAAAGAATAAACTGAAATCTTAAATTGATAACTGTCTTATTATTTATAGTTAATAATTATTTTTTAGTGTTATACATTATTTAAATTGTATGATTGTTATGGTAATCAGACTGTTATGAAAAATGCAGAAAATCAAGTAGTTAATTTATACGTATAAAAATAAATTTAGCTAACTGTAAAACCCTGTGTTACATTTTTAAGATTTTCTACGCACAAACTAAAATTGTAGTATATATAAACATTAAAGAAGTTGAAGTTTTCAAAATATACATATACTAATGGCATAAAATATTTTATAAATTGTATTAAGTCTAGAAAATGTTAGCATAAATATTAAGTGAAAAATTCAAGTTTACAGTTTTAATTTTTGAATTACAACAAAAAAAAAAAAAACTAAATTGTTATTGTCGGTAAGTGGATTTTCACAGCAATTCTCGTTTATCCCGATTATTTAGAAATTAAATGAGAATTGTTATTTTGACCTTGCCGTTACCAACTAGACATTGTACCTTACCAAAAATACCCTCGAAGTTGAAAATCTAAGCATTTTTCTACTACATATCAATGTACGATTGGAATATTGGATTTTTCCGCCATAATCCAGCATGGCTATAGAGATAACCATGAACGAGTTACCGGCTACCGCTGTTTTATAACCACGACTGCAGCACACATTGGTTCAATCGAAGCCGGCTAATCGTGACAAACTTCTGTTTGGTGCCATAACCTAACACTATATAAGAATAAAAATAAAAATCGGGTTGTCCGAGAAGTATCTTTAATGGTACTCAATATTGTTAAACCAAATTCCAAAACTTACATCGTACATGATTCGAATGAATTTCTCTTGCTCAAATAATTAAATATTACTTCTATCGGCCATTATCGTATTGTATATCTCGTGTTGGCCACACTGTTTCTGAAATAGTGCGATTAGGGAGCCTGCTCTCAAAAAATTAAAAAGATGTTGAAACTTGAAATGTTTGTTATTGATGCATAGAAATGGGATCTGAAATTCTCTAATCCGAATGGCTAGATTGTAGAACGCCATGGCTTGGAACTTGACTTAATAAACATGTTGACGGTTGTTGACTATTCGATTATTGCAGAGCGTTAACCTGTGCTCTCGTAGACTAGTTGAGTTTTTTTTTTTGTTTATGTTTTGAAGTTTTAACGTCCTCAATATACAATCGACTTGTGACTATTCTACAGGAGTCCGGAGTTCCCGCCTCTCCATATCGTCGTGTACTTTTTCCGAGTTACCTCTACATGCAATTTGTGAAAAACTGACTGGTAAATAGTATTATAACTTATAATATTTTGATCCTTTTATTTCAACTCGATGTTTTAAAAATGTCTGATTCCGAACGATATTTTCGAATTACCTATTTAATACTAAATAATGTATTTACTGTTTAACTATATTTTCTTGATTCTTAGTTAACACTAAGATACATATAGGCACATCACACCGAGTGCATCATAGTTTCTGTATCTGTGTATTATCTATCTAATTAAACTGTTCTAATTTTTTATAGTTGCATGATACCTAAAATTGTAAACACTCTTTAAATTAGAATGTTATTAAATTTCAGTGCATTAGTTTATTGGAAGTCGGAGTTGATTGGTTTCTAATCCATCATAATGGGCACTGTTTATCCAAATGACGATGAAATCAAATTTCGCAAAAACAATTATGGAGGTAAATACTTAAAGAACAAAATTCTAAAAGAATACCTATAACTATATTATTATTTACATTTTTTTAATTATTGAGGGCTGTTCTTACAATGTATGGTTAAGTGTCTGATGATGCAGAATTTCTTTTGTGTTACCGATAGAATTCTGCAGATTAGTCTTAACCGACACTTAACTCGACATTGTAAGAACAGCCCTAAGAATCGGTTTACTTGAATCGCGGAAAAAAAGCCCAGAAAAAAAAGCCCACGGAAAAAAAGCCCAAAAAAAAAAATACACTGAGGAAAAAAAGCCCACGGAAAAAAAGCCCAGAAATACAAATATAAATGTGAACAAAATATAATAATATATTATTATATATTATAATGAAAATAATAATTAATTGTTAATTATATACTTTACAACATATACATAACCTTTGTAAAAACCTTTGTTACCACCTTTATTTGATTTGATAATCTCCATATTCACAAAAATTGGTAAAACAAAAGTATAAAATATATAACAAATGTATAACCGGATAAAACTGTACTAGTAGGACGTGTAGATAGTATCTCAATAACCAAGTAATGGAGTACTATATGGAGTGTCAATATTACCCAGTTATTGATAAATTTTAACATTTTGACTGGTTATATATATAAATTATATTGGTAAGTACCGAACAATATAAATTAAATTAAATGTAAAAGTGCTTATCAATAGTTGGGTGATAAAAATGCAATTTATTGACAGGTGGTTCATCAGTTCATGGCAGTATCAAACCCTCTATATAATAATATACCTTAATAATATTTCTTAAATTAAAATACATTAAACATTTTCAATAGTTATATATTATGTATAAGTCATATTTGAAATTTTAATATTTTCTTTTATAAAATTACCTATATATGCCTCTTATACAATTATTTATGATTATTATCTGTTATAGTATAGTAATGTATTATTAATATATTATTATATTTTGTTCACATTTATATTTATATTTTTGGGCTTTTTTTCCTTGGGCTTTTTTTCCGTGGGCTTTTTTTCCTCAGTGTATTTTTTTTTTTGGGCTTTTTTTCCGTGGGCTTTTTTTTCTGGGCTTTTTTTCCTTGGGCTTTTTTTCCGTGGGCTTTTTTTCCGCCTACCGGTTTACTTATATTGGTATTTTATTTTCTATTTATGTAATAAGATAATAAATATTGTCATTACTAAGTGAATTACGTACTTTTTATTATCAAAAGATTTTCTTGTTGTCTCAAACCTAAAATATGTTTTTACGTTTTATCTATGTGAAATATCTCTTATTTAATTGTTAAATTAAAAATATGTATTATTGGTGATTGAGAGCTTCTCAATTTTCTGTTGGTGGGGGGGTGGGATCTGTAACGGGAAACTGGAAAAATAACATGTAAATGATCCACAGCGTGGCGGCGGCGCAGCGTCCCTGTTACAGTTTATCACTTTCAATCTCTAATAACGGCTGATTCTTTTATCATTGAACTCCATAGACCCATGGCTATAAAAATCTTAATAGGTCTATGTTGAACACTTTTTTCACTCATTTCAAAAAGTATAAATGTTTAAAAAATACATTTTTACATGGTTTCTAGTCGTTTTAAAACAAAAATTTTCATAAACATTTATTTTTTAGTTCTTACTTTTTTGAATTACAAGTGAGACAACATACCATCAGTGGTCGGGACGCTACTGTTTTTTTGTAGCACGCTAACGCTACTGCTACTCCCCCAAAAAAGTAGCTCGCTAACGCTAAAGCTACTTTTTTTTAAATGTAGTGCGCTATTTCTAACGCTATTGTTTAAATGTAGCGTGCTACTTTTTCGCTACATTTTTTTAAAAATTTTTTTTGTTTATTTAGATATTCACTTGAGCCCTTGGTCATTATTTGTTAATGCCTACCACTATTTTCTTGTAATTTCGGAAGGTAGGTTTATTAAGTGTAACTCATGTATTTTTGTAACAAAAATCAAAACAAATAAACGTTTTATTGAAAATTGCTTACTAGTTGAATATGACGTGGTGGCTTCAGGTTCTGTCATTTTTAATTCAACTATTCAAAATATTTAAAACTTAAAAGAAACACAGAAAAGTAGAAAACGCTGAATGCCGAAAACAAAAATAGTGATAATAAAATACTAATATATTAAATATTATTTATGGTTCTGTTTTCAATAATATAAATATTATAAAATATTACATTGTAATAATGCACTTATGATTATAGTCTAATCTGTCCGGTCTTATCTTAGTCCGGTCCGAGCTAAGCCCGAAAAAATCAAAAATACACTCATCTTGTCATCTTGATTAAATAAATAAATATACATCATGATATTTTAATTATCATGAAATAGGTTAGAAGTAGCGATAAAATAATGAACATTTTCGCTACGCTAACCGTAAATTTCTAGCGCGCTATAGTATTTCTCTACATTGTATATACTGTAGCGACGCTATGTTAATCGCTACAGCTAAAGTAGCGTCCTACAATTAGCGCGCTACTCCCGACCACTGCATACCATTTTAATTTCGTATTCCATAGCAGAATATTTGTCTAAGTATTTAGATACATAATAATCAAATTTAGAATTTATATTTTATAGTTAATTTCATTGAGTGAATTGGAGTGGTACGCAGTTAACCCACAAAATGTTGGTCCACTACTCTGCTCATCTAAACTTTAAATACTTATAATTCATAAACTACTCATCCTAAATCCATTATTGTTTATCGAAACATTCAGAAAAATATTCTGCTTTTGAAGATGAATTTAAAACAGTATTTTATATTAAATTCAGAAAAAGAAAATACTTAAAAAAATATTTGAAAATATAATTTTTTTTAAAAAATGTTTTCTAACAATTTGAAACCGTGTACAAAAAATATTTTCAAAAACGAATACTTTTAAAAGAGTGAGTATCCTACGTCAAATAAATGAACTACCCGGTATATTTTTTTAAACGGTTATCTTATTAGTTAATAAATTATTTAAGTTCTATGTCCGTTTAGGTCAGTTATAATAGTTATTAGAGAATTATAAAGTTATAGTAGTAATAGTTATTGCTAAATTTTCTTTAGTAGCATATCAAAACTATTGATTTAATCATATTTGGGATTTTTTAAATACTAATTAAACAGTAAGGATTAAAAATGTTTTTATAGGGTGGAGCTTCTTAACCTGTGATCCATGGACACAAGGAGTGCCCAAGAATGATCTGTATATGGGCATGTTGAATAACAGATTTTTAAAAATAATATATCAAATTATTTAATATGTTAGGTTTATTCTATATATTATGAAATATTAACTACAATATACCTACTACAATTATATAATTTTATAAACGTTGGTACTACTGACACAAATGAACATCAGTCATTAAACAATGACACTATAATTTATCTTAGGCCTAAAATTAACATTGAAGAAATTCAGTAATGATTTATTCTAAAATACATTTCGCCAATATTATATGGTCATAATACGTTCACGTTTGAATCAAATTTTATTTTTTTTCCCTTTTTATAATATATGTTTTTCGTTTTGGTTCCTTAATCTTTTTAATCCATATGTATAAGTATCACAGTACCTACATCAAATTGTCAAATTCAATTCATTTATTTTATTTATGTAATATTAAGTATGTGTATCTTGTATAATATGTTATATTAAATTTTTGTCCCAATTGAATTTAAATATTTTTCTAAACAAAATTATCAACATTGTCTATCAGTATTAGATGTTGAGTTAATTTTCTAGTCATAGTTGTAAATGGTTACAAAGTATTTGAATTTTACAACCTGCCTATGTTGTCAGTTAATGCCTAACCATCGATGATATCGGGTATTAATTAGGGATGGGCCGATACCTGATATATTTGAAAAGCAAAATTTTCAGCATAAACAATGAACCGATATTAAAAGATCACCAATACTATCAACCGAAATACTATTATCATTTTACATTTAACTATTACAATTTATAGTCAATGCTATTATGCTAATAGATTTGGTTTTTTGTTTTTTTTTGGTATCGGTTCAAATATTGGTTTAAAAAAAAAAAAACCGATACACCCGATACCACCAATATCGGCCGATATCTAGTATCGGTTTTAGTATCAGCCCATCCCTAGTATTAATGTTAGGAATTTATGGAATTGGCTAGGCATTTACCTAATTTACATCATCAATGGTAACATATATGGATGAATACAATGCTGTAAAATTTTTATTTACTCATTACTCAAAATAAAATAATATCTAGACACGCGGTAGCGTGTCAAGCCAAGTTCTAGCTAACAGAACTGGCGAGCAGCACCGTGTGTAATATTACACGAACCATTTGGAGCCACTTTTGACCCCCTCATAACTCAAAAACTATTCCACATAAACATGTCAAATTTGGCTCATATATTGAGACTAAAGAGATACATATGTGCTCTAAATTTCATAAACACACTTCAAACCGTTATTTAGATATTAACGTCCGAAAATCGTCATTTTTATCACTGACTTACCTATAGATCAAAATTCTAACCCAGTTCCAGATGACCTAGAAAGTTCAAATTTGGCATACAGATAGGTAGTTAGGTAAATACAAAGGAAAAAATCAGAAACTTGAAAATTTTTAATTTAAATTTTTTAATTTTTAATTTTTTAATCAGTTGATTTTATTATAATTTTGCAATTATTTTATCTATTATGTTTAATTTTTCAATTTATTAATGAATTGCCTCTAATTTAATGTAATTTAATGTAATGTTGACTTAAATAACCTTTCCCGTATCGCCGCTCCAAAAATACGACTAGCCGAATATGTGTCGATATTGTCGACCCGCGAGCAGCAACATACTTTTTTTTCTATCTATGTATGTAATTAATATTATTTTTTTTAAATATTACAATTAAAATAATTAAATAATTATTCTTACAAATTATGAATTATCCACCCAACAGTAGAAACTACAGTCAATAAAATTATGATAATTAAAAATATACTCAAAAAGAATTAAAATAATTGTATATTAATTTTACATATATTTTATACTCTGTATATACAACGGAAAATATTTTATAATAAATATTATTATTAATATTAGTAACTGAATTATATTATATAGTAATAAACTTTATTTATAGAATACGTCATGGCTAGGTTAGGTTAGGTTATAATAATTTACATACAAAAAGTAATGATATCCCACCAAAAACATATATGTAAAATGAGAGCCAAGTTCAATACTATAATATATGCCTTTGTTGTTGACTTCAACGACAAAAGAAGTGAGATCTAAATGGGTGCCAAGTTAGGATAATATATTGAAGCCTAAGGTCTGACTTGGCTACAAATTATATATTATAGCATTTGCAAGTTCTAAAGCCTTGAGTTCTTATTTTATTCTTCGGAAAATCATCTTCACTCTTCCATTACTGTTTTAGTAGGTACTTATAATAATAATTCGTATATGAAAAGTAGCCAAGTCACACCTTAGGCTTCAATATATTATCTTAACTTGACACCCATTTAGATCTCACTTCTTTTGTCGTTGAAGTCAACAACCAAGGCATATATTATAGTATTGAACTTGGCTCTCATTTTACATATATGTTTTTGGTGGGATTTACATTATACTTAAACAGTTACACTTACACAATAAAATAAATACATATACATAAAATAATAAAAAGGTAGGCAAGTGGGAACTGTATTTGAATAAATGGATGTTTTTTAATTTAATTTTAAATTTAATGATCCTTAAGCCTGGCATCTGGCCATTAGCTGTTTGTAGGGTTGTATTGTGGTGGTGTTAGTGTTGGAATGGTGGGTTTTTACACGTGAGTGTTTGTTTGGTAGAATTTTTAAGTGGGTACCCGTAGGTATCTGCCATGTCCGGGTGTGGGATGGCGGCCTTTCTCTCCGGACATCTCACTGCCCGAAGAAAAAATGCCGTCCGTAGCTGGGATCGACGCCTTAGTCCGATCGGCCACTTCGTCCTCCATTTTTAATTCAATGATATATTATCATTGTACACAAATTACGATTCTGAGTAACTGAGCTGAGATGGTCGTCAGCCTGTGTCAAGTATATTTCTTCATGGGTTTTTTGATACGCTATTAAAGAAACTTATTCTTTTTTTAAAAAATATTAGTATAACGGAAGGTTGATTTAATTTTTCTAAAAACATTGCATTTACCGCCACGGCTCCATAAATAATATTTTTGAATTACAACAAAACAACTAATATATTATTCTTTGTTTAAATTTCTAATTTCGAACAAATATAAACTTCAAATATCTTTCAAAAAAACTACTTGAATATATTTTTTTAGATTTTTTGGGTACAATAACTACTCAAGAACCCCCGGGGAAAACTTAATTTAAATTTTCAATCTTATCCTATTAAAATTTAACTGCCAAACAATTCCAAATTTTTGTAATTTTGTTAAAATTTTAACTTAAAGAATTTTTTTGATAATCTTATGGCTATAAATAGATCAAAAAAAGCAAAATATTTAAAAAATTGCATCATGCATAGAAAATGGCCATAATATGTACATTTGGTGACAGTGTTAAGACGTATCTACTGTTATAGGTTTTGAGACATTCTAAAAAAACAAAATTATTTATTGCGTAAAAATTACCATTTATCCATAATTTTTTAATCCCTCTATGCTTTTGAAAATGTCTGTTTCTTTCTGACCCCCTAAAATTTTCCTACCAGAAAAGATGCTAAAGTAGAAATTCAAAGTATTTTTACTGCCGAAAAGGCGATGATGAAAAACCCATACCATTGTAAAATACATTCATTGTTTCGCTCAGAATATAAAGTATAATAATATGTACTTATATTAAAACTTAAAAATACTTATATTACCTTCATAAGTATTATTTAATATTTATTTAGAAATTATGAAATTTTAATGTTTAATCTGCAAGTTACAACAAATTTCATTAATAATTTGAATTTTATTTTTTCCCATAAGTTTTTACTGCATATTAAATGGACATTTGAGCTTTTTTTAGAACTTATTTAATTACACATTTGAAGAATTTTTAGTACTTTAACTAGTTTGATGAACCACGATGACTTAATTTTAAAATTTGTGTTAGTTATTACTAGTAAAAATGTGTATCTAAATTAAAATTTATGTTTTACTAGATGTTAAAGATATTTTGAACAGTGAAGTTAAATGTACAATTTGTAACGATGATCTTTTACATGAAATTATTTCAAAGAAAATGATAATGGTTAATCGAAGTCATCTATTTTTATGTTGCTACGTAAGTCTTATTTATCTTATTTATAAAAAGTATACATGGATAGTGGAAAGCAAGTGATATAACCAGCAAAATGAATATTACAGGAATGATTAAAATAATAATAGTTTTGTTAAAAATGTATAATATAAGGGATGTAAAATTTGTTTGTTTAAAATATGAACAAAAATGATTTGAACCATAGGTTATGTTAGTTGGGGAAAATGTGTATTGATCATTATCAGTTAAAGTCTCGTTGGGTATATTTTAGGTATATCACATGGCTACCATTAGACGTGTTTTGGTGATGCAGTTTTGATCAACCTGGTAAATAATTTAACAAACAAATTGTTTTGGAGATACTATTTACTGCAATTGTTTGATAACTGAATGCACTTTTCGACAACCAGGTTGACAGATTTAGCAAACAATTAAAAACTACGTTAACTGTCTTTGGTTACTGATATACATTGATAACGATTTTATAATTTGTCATCCGAGATCCGAGTATCCAACATCAGCTATCAAATCATGACAGAATAAAATACTGTACAGTAAACAAAATGTTTTGGCGATATACCAACCAAGTAGTTAATTGAACAAACAATTCTAATAACCGGGTTGCTCAAAACTGCATCGCTAAAACACGCTTATTAATTCCACCATTTACTGTATACTAATTGAATGTGTAAAATATTGTTATTGTTAGATAGTATACGTACCATAGTTGTTATTATAATTGTAGATTGTTATATATTTTTTATTATAGTTTAATTAATTATTTTTGTTTAAACTACTAATTCTAGACAATTCTTGTTTAGTCATATTTGTTGAGTTATGTGTGTATTCTATTATTTTTAGCATTCATATTTAAATACAAATAATATACATTTTTCTTTTATACAATAAATAACTGCATTACTTATGTTTTTAATGAAGTTTTTTTTTTCAGAGCTGTTTTTACAAACTTTGTGACGGAAATAAGTTTAGTTGTATCTTGTGCAATTCCAACAAAGATCTATCTAATTGTACAAAATGCAATCTTAATGTTTGTAATGTAATTAAACATTTTAATTAAAATCTGTTATACAGTATGATTTATCTAGCATAGTTCATCCTCAATGTTTCTTTAATAACAGATTTATTCAAATTCTGATTTTTGGATTTTTAAATACCATATTTTCAAATTCTTAAGTTTTTTTTGTTCTGTGGCAATTCAAACTTTTTAAATGAGAATCCCTTTCTGTACTGTAAATTATTTTATTATTTAAAAATTTTTATGCACTACCTAATTAAAAATTTGAGCAAGTAGTTTATAAGGATAGTAGTCTTAAAAATGATTTTACAATGTTGTATCTATTATTTACACTTTATATTTTACAAATTATAAATGTTGATAGATTGTCATTAATTACTAAAATTTTCAAATCACTAAAGTCCCAATACACAGTAGCGTAACTTGGACTTTTTTAAGGGGGTGATATACAATTTTTAATACACATATTATATTCATTACATTATACACATGTTATATTGTGTACAAAATTAGGTCTCCGGGGTGGGGGGATATACCCTCATATCACCCCATAGATATTCCACTGCCCATACACAAACCTATTAGACTTATTATCTTTAGTACCTATACTAAATTAAATAACTCAAAACTACTCCTTTGAATTTTGATATTGATACATCAACATTTTCAGAAAAATTATCCGTTAAATAATTTACAGTAGAATAAAGGAATTGGCACTCATTTGAAAAACAACTTTTATCTCCACAGTACACTCAAGTAGTACCCAAAATCTCCATAATTTTAAAATTTATTGTATACATATAAAAATTTGAAAATCACATTTTGAATACCTGTATTATCGAAAAAAAGGGGGTTGAGCATGTTTGTAAGTTGCCCTGTATATACTTTAAGTGATATGAAAAAATATTATAGGTATATAATTTATATTTTCAAAGGTTTTTATTAAATTAATTGAATTTTTTAGCGTTGTGTTCAAAATCAAAAAATTGATAAATCATCTATTGGTGTTTTAAATAAATGCTTCAATTGTGACCCAAAAATGTTGTGGGAAAAAAGAGCTCAAGCTGCTAATGTATTAAAAGTATTTTCTTCTCAACTGTAAGTAAAAGCTTGGTATAGTGTTAATATTCTCATTATTTATTTCTATAACTATCTTAGATAAAACTATAATTTTTGTATTAAAAAGTTATCCTATTACTCTTATTGCGTTGAACAGCAATGTACGGTATATGGAGACGTCAATTGTTTTTCAAAATCATGCCACTATATTATTTTACTTTTAAGATGTTTAAGCAGTACGTTATTTCCATTTTTTTAAATATTAATATTAATATTAAATTAATTTTTATATAAATAGATCGTTCACTGATACAACATTTACTAATGATTAATTGAATTTTATGTGCAAAATAATTTTGCAGAATCAATCTTGTGTGGTTTGCTATTGTAGTGAATTGACCTATTATCAAACTTATAGTTGTGAATATTATTTATGTTAGTACATTTGGTTTTCACAATATTAAATTATTTATACAAGCGATGAGTATTTTAAATTTACAATTTTAAAATGCTCATATATTATAGAAAAATGAAATATTGTAAAAAACCACATATAATGTTCTTAACTTTTTCTCAAAAACTACCAACTTTGTTAAGTTTTATAATATGTTTAATATAATTTAAATAATAATGCTTATAACACAGATTTGCCGTGTTCGTGTGGGTCAGAAAAAGAAGACAAATAATACGCTGACACCCTTTTGAGGCACTTGAGGCCGTATTTCATTACCACCCTGTTCAGAATTTTTATTTTTACTCTCCAAATTAAATTTTAGTGTTTAAGTAAATCCATTTATTTAGTCATTAATGGTAGCTAACCATAAAATGAGTTCAAACTATGACGTCTATTGTGCCGTGAACCTTTTATAGTATTCTGATTGGCCTTTGTAATCATGGTATCATTCTCTAATCACAATCTAATAGAAAATTTCCCGAGTTGGGCCGAGCTCAACTTTTGGACTTAACACAACAGTTGACATAGCTGTGAATAGGTCTATATAGTGATACATTTGATCTATTTGGTAAATTAGGGTAACATGTTAAAAGGACATCGGACCCACATAATATGTTGTCTCTGTCTTACGACGTGAGCAAATTTTCGTTCACCAGTTTCAATAGTGTGCTATTAGTTTTGATATTAGAGTGAATTGACCTATTATCAAACTTGTAGGTAAGAATATTATCTGTGTTCTCTTAATCGTTTTTTTCCGATAATTTAATTGTGAATTATGAGCATTTTTAAAATTTAGTATTTTACATACTTACAACTCACTTAAAAATGAAAATAATGGGGGTAAGACAGAGTCAATACATGTTGCTACGACGTCCTCTTAACTACAAAGAGATAGTATTTATTTTATAAATTACTGCAATAATAATAAAATGTGGTTGGTTTTGATTTTTTTAATTTTATGTTATAACTGGTTATTCTATAATAATATATTATTAATTAAACTACTTATAGTTGTGTGTATTAATTATTTTCAGATGTCTGCCTAACGGCTTATTAGTAAATGAAACAAATCATGAACAAGCTGTTCGAAAATACTTGGTGAAAGAAGCTAGAGTTGGGAAAAATTCTGTAATAGATAAAATTAAAAACAACCTGTGCATTAATTTCATGTTTAAATCATATAAGTCGTCTATATTAAACGAACTTTCAACATTATCTTCTACTGATCATAATCCAATTGATGAACGTCTAAATGAATTCATCAGGGTCTGTGAGAATGTTTTAGAAAATACCTGTTCTACTTTAACCGATATTAAGAGAATATTTAATATTGATTCACATTTGAGTCCTGGTGTTTCTGCTATAATGAAATCTTTATTGAAGCCTGTTGAAGATGAAAACTTATTAGTAGACAATTCAATATTAAATGGAAATTTAAGTAAAGAAACCAATGATAATTCAGTCAATCCATCATCAAACGAATCTAACAAACGTACTACAAGAAGTTTAAGATCAGGAAAAAAACAAAAAAAAGATAATGATACTTTAAACTCAAAAATATCTTTATCTTCCTCAAGGTTACAACCAACGTTGTCATCTCCAAGTGTGCAACAAATAGCTAACGTCATGAATAAAAGTTTCTCTGTTGTTTTAGAACGGTTGGACGATTCTATAGTATCAAGTTTAATTGGTAGTAAATCTTCTAATAAAGTTCCTCTCAATTTGGAAAAAGATGAAATAGCTCATCCTTTAAATTTAGTTGATAATGTAGTGATGATGATAGCGAGAATACAATCAAATTGAGAAATCGTACTCTTATAAAAACTAATAAGGTAAAATATTAAGCTATGTATTATGCATTATACTATACTATATAAGTATTATCTTGCGTTTATAAATTTACCATGTTACAATATTGTTTTAAACTTTAAAGTATTTTTGATGTAATATGTATTGGTCTCATCAAAACATATTTGGATTATTAAAATTATAATTAATTATTACTACATTATTCTAACCTCATAGTGTTTTCTTCAAAGTTTAAATGTATTTTATTATATATGCTAACTAGCTAACTACTAAGTATGTTTGTCTTTTTAAAGTACTCCTGAAACGTATTTTATGTTTATATTTGGTGTTTAAAAACAATCTTTCTGTTTTCTTTTTTAAATAATTGAAAATGTTTTTTAATAGTCTTATTTAAATTAAGCCTATTTTTATGATTTTCAGTAACTAATCATTATTTTATATTACCCCACCCTTTTATCTTACAATAGTTTTATTAAAAATTGAATATTTTTATGAGTGTTTAATAATTATAAATTTGTCATTGGCATTATCTAGACAAAAAACTCAACTAAAAATCAAAAAAAACTTGATGAAAAATCTGAAGATGAAAAAGAAAATGATAGGTATACGTTGATTTTATAAAAATAGCTCTAATATATAAAAATTTGTTAAGTATTACATTCATTTATTTTGTTTTTTTTAGGCTGACTAATTTAAATGGCATTGAAAGGTGTTCTAAAAACAAAGTTGCAACTGATAATGAAGATAATTCTGATGATACTGATATCACACCAGCTAAAAATACAAGTTTCAAAGTAACCCCAAAAAAATTAAAAAATGAAGTAAATAAGTTGGAAAACATTAATCAATTCCTTTCAACAATTGATGGGACCGACTCTGGTATTTATTAATTTATTAATCAGTATTTAAAAAGAAAAGTTACTTTGCTGTTATTGTTAATTTAAGATTTTTCAACTTCAAATTAATGTTTAAATATTACTAATAAATATTAGTATTATATTATTTATATTTTGCAACTCCTTGTTTACACACCACTGAACTAAACTATGAATGTGCATGATTTATCCAATAATTGTTAAGATATCTGTTAATATTGAAAAATAGTTTTTGCTCATATTTCTCCTTATTATTTTGTTATTTTCTCAAAGACTACTGACAAATTCAAATAATTAATTAAATTTTTTTATTTATGGAGATTTGTGAAAAGATATTGCCATATCACCAGATCCTACTCTCCTTTTAGAATCTTAAATATAAAGATATACATTTTTGAAAATCTGTTGCAAGATTGATTATTTGTTAACCCTAGATCATACGCAATTAAAATATTCACGAGAATACACTCACACTGTCTTTTTAGTCACACACAGTGTGGCACAAATCATGGTCAACTAACCAGTCACAAGGAAAATATAATAACTATCAATTTTGCTTATTGAGCAGCAATTATTAGAAACACAGTTTAAAAATAACCCATACTTGATTTTTTTTACGATCACGCACACATTCTTTTTGACCTTATATTAATACGCAATGTCTGGTAATGAACTTTGAACACTTCTATATTACTGACATCAGATCGTATACAGTTGGGTAACTGTGGTACCTGGGTTGGATTAGGTTAATATTTCATATTTTTGAAACAATGAACAAAATTCTAAAAGCCCGGTCTTTATGCGGTCTTTTAGGGTTAATGTTGTGTATTTAGGTGTGTATAAACTCATTTTTTTTTAGATACTGATAATGATTCTCTAAATGAAGAAAATTCTCTAGAATCAGTAAAAGATATTTTTACTGAAATCAAAAATTCTGTAGAAATACCTCAAATTAACACAGAAGACAACAGTGGGGATGAAAGTGGTAATTATTAAATTTTATTTATTATGAAATAAACTTACTATTGTAATAAAATAAAAGAAATGACTACATTTAAAAAAAAACAGGTTTTGTGGGCCGCGGGTTGGACCAATCTGCACTAGAACATTCTAGACATTTACTAAAAAGTATTTTTATTGTTTAGTAGCCTCTGTAGTATTAAAACATTTCTGTGGCCTCTGAAGTCCTGGAAGGCAAGTTGGATGTTATACTGTCTTTTAAACACTTAATAAGAATGCTCCATTGTAGTATTGTATAATTATTATAAAATAGTTGACATTTTTATATTAATACTATATTTAAGTAAATTAATTGATAGAAATAATGTTTATTTTATAAATACAAGAAGCCATTACACATCTAGTCACTCTAAATGTATGCCTATTATTAGTCTGATTAATTATTTGGCGTTTTCCCTAGTTTGTTACATAATTATAATAATATTGTACATTGAATTATAATCCAAATGTGTCATATTTCCGCAGTTGTTTTCATTGTTCAGTAAACTTAATTTTTAAAATAATTTAAATTTATTTACTATGGGTTGTTAGTTTTCTTACTTTTCAGTTTCCACTTTTAATCAAAATGTGAATTTTTTCAAATAAATGTCTTGATAAATTTAGAATTTCTATAGTATAGCATATTAAAAGTGTCTTCTTTAAATTAGTACAGGTTTGAATGTTTTTAAAATAATATAATTTTTTTTTCAGATAATAGCTCTATTGATGATGTGATAAATGCATGCTTAACTGCTTGTAAAAGACGTAGTATTGATCATTATCATAAAAAGTCTCAATCAGGGATTAATAATATGGATACTGTTTTTGAATCTGATCAATCAGAAAACAAAGACATTGCTGTAAGTTTTATTGGCATTTTATTTAATTTAATATTATATTATTTATATTAAGAATAATGATTAATGTATTTGGGAGAATGGGTAGATAGACGATTGTTGCTAGTTAATTTTTGATTGTTGTTAATTGAATCGAATTAATTAGTATTGAAAAAAATATAAGATACTATATTATTACTGTTAAAAATTAAAAAATTCAAGAAGTTAATTAATATGAGAGTTCCACGAACAAACCTAAGAGAAAGCTGTATTTAAGAGCTATATTTAAAATAGCAATTATCTTCCCTTCTTGGTAATATACAGATATGCTACTGATACAATCTATTAGATTGATATAATTTAATACCTATTGTGTAAAAAGCTAAATTACATATGAAAATAGAATCAATATAAATTTTAAATTAAGTTGCTACATTTTTTCTTAAAAATATGTATTACAACACATTATTTTTAATTTAATTAAATAGTAAATCAAGTATATTATTTGATAACATCCTAAAAATCTATTAATATTAATTATTTAAATTACATTGCATTTTAGGATTTGATAGAATTATCAGATATACATAATGATACTACTATTGTTACTCGTTCAAGACAACTTAAAATACCATCAATCGGTGATAGTGATAGCGATTTTGATTTTAAAGGCAAAACAAAAACAAAAGGAACGAAAAGGTATTGTTTTAATTATAGTTGATACAAAATAAGTAATTTGTACTTAATTATAATTTTAGATTTTAAACCGAGGTAGGAATGTAATAGTTTAGTCTTAACATACTTTGTTTTTTAGATTCTGAGTGAAACGATGAATGTATTGATTTTACAATGATGTGTGTTTTTTTTTTATTTTTGTGTCTGTCATCACGTTTTAGGACAGTAAAAGTGCTTGGATTTTCTTCATCAGTAGCTTTTCTGATAGGAAAGTGAATCTAGTTGGTACTTTGGGGGTCAAAAGTATAAATTTCCCAGTAGTTTTCACAAGCGCCGGGAAAAACAACATAAAAATTAAGGAAAAACGGGAATTTTTAAGCAAAATTGGTTTTCCAAAAAATCGATTTTGGTTATTGGTGTAACTCTAAAACAAATGAACGTATATACATGAAATTTTCACTGGTTGTTTATATTTGCATTTTCTATACACGATAAAATTTTCAAAATATTTTGATTTATTTTGAACTGTTTAAGGACATTTTCATTTTCCATTTTTTTTTAGTTTTTTTTCTAAAAATATCAATAAAATTTTATTTGTTGGTTGCGAAAGCTTGAAAATTTAATAGAAGGCTCCTAATATATTGTTTCAAAGGCAGATGAAAAATATTAAAAATCCTTAGTCACAATTTTTTTTATAAGCATTTAAAGTTCAAAAATTGACAAAATATGGAAAATCACGAAAATTAGCAAATTATTTTGAGTTAAGAATTCGTAAAAATTTTTCTTTTTAAATCTAAGATTTGAAAATTAAACACAAGATTCCTTATAAGATTATCTACCTTTATCAAAAGAAAAATGTCTATAAGAAAGTCAAATTAAATTTTTATGAGCGTTTGAAATTCAAATTTTTACAACATTGAATATTCACTCGATTTCCCATGTAGCGATTTCCTTATTTTGTTGTAATTCAAAAACAAATAACTGTAGATACATGAAAATTTCACTGAATGTTTATATTAGCATTTCCTATACACCATACAATTTTGAAAACATTTTGACTCTTTTTGAGCTGTTTATGGACATTTACAGCTTTCAATTTTTTTTAGTTTTTTTTTTATAAATATCAATAAAGTTTTATCTGTTGGGCCAAAAAGTGTAAAATTTTAATACAAGGTTCCTAATATATTGTTACAATAGCAGTTGAAAAATATTAAAAATACATAGGCACAATTTCTTTTTATAAGCATTTAAAAATCGAATTTTGACAAAATTTATCAAAATCTCGAAAATTATCAATCATTCTAATTAATAAATTATAAAATGTTCAGTTTTTATAGCTAAGGATTGAAAATTTAAAACAAATGTTCTCATAAATAGTTCATACTGTAACCAAAAAATCCAAAAAATATATTAACACAGTTATTTTTTATAGACATTTTAAATTCAAATTTGGACGAAATTACATATTAAAAAACCTAGAATAACTAATTTAGTTATTTTGTTGTGATTGAATAATATTATTCGTGGGTACTTGAAACTTCTAAAGTGTACTATTATATATCTATGATAGTATCACGGTTTTTGTTGATGTATAACGCGTTATAAGTACCTAATGTACATTGTGATATGATTAATTTAGAATTTATTATAGGTTCCTATTATAGGTCAATTTTTTGTTTAATACCATAGATATGTATATAATATGTCTTATACATAGACTGACATACCGTCTCCGCTCAGAATCGTTTTTCTTATACAATGATATGATATTGTGAATTCAAATTTAATATCATCCATTGTACAGTGACCCACTTGTACAGCAGAGCGACACCCACTTGCCCACCTTTTTTTTTTTTTAATCAATCATGTTATTTTTGTCTTAATAATTGTCTAAATATTTAAACCACAGTACTTTTCTTGTTAATATTACAAAAAAAAGTATGAAAACTGGAATGTTTTACACATTACTGCTTTTGACAAAACCAAATTTGTTGTAAAAAAATAAACATAGTGTCCAGTAAATTTCCCCTAAATATTCATATCAAAATGTCTTCTTTCTTTTTCTGTTTATTGGACCCTTAGGACCATCCCGTCTCACGCCCAATCCTCAATTTTTCTCTGTCTAAAGCTAGAATCCTCCTCTTAGACCCTCCAACTAAACGTTTCACAACCTCTTTTAAAATATCCTCCCATCGCATTCACAATCTTCCCATTATCAACATTTACTAGACATGAAATAATTTTGATAAGCAATTTTTAGATGGTTAAAATTGTCTATTGAATGTGAGAAATGAATGTATTGATTTTCCAATGATGTGTTATTTTTTTTGTGGAGGGTGGGGGAGTAAGTAAAAATACTTCTTACTTCAACATTTATTCTAGTAAGATTTTTCTAGTTTGTACTTTGGTGGTCTCAAAAGTATGAGGAATAAATACAAAATTAAGGCAAAACAGGAATTTTTACGTTAAGTATCAACTATACTGTGTCCAGCAAAATAATGCACCAACCAAAACTGGTTCCTCCCCTCAACACCCTGCCATAGGAAACTGGTTTTGATAGCAAGGTGAGTCAAGGGAATGACAGAATCTGCGCATTCCCTTGCTGGACAGAGTATAAACCATTTTTTTTTCTTTAATTTGCTTCCAAAACCCACCTTTCTGAATAAAAAAAAAATTTTAAAAGTAAAATAAAACTTTTACTGTTCCAAAAGCTTACAGACACAAAATAAAATTTTTTTAATACATCACTAAAATATAGGTACACTCTGCAAAGAATCTAAAATATAATAATATTATATTAAAAAAAGTAAGCTACAGGGTGTCGCTCTGTCTACAAGTGGGTCACTGTAATGGATGGTATTAAATTTGTATTCAATGCTATAATATCATTGTATAAGAAAAACGATTCCGCGCAAAGACAGTCTATGAGTTAGCCTATGATATTACTATACTGAGTACGCCGAGAGAGCGCAAGTCGGCTGCGCAGGTCTCCGCGGGTTAGAGGTCTAATTTGTCCCACCAAGTCGACTGGTCGTACGCCGTACGATGCGCGGACTACGACGGGTTTTGGTCGCCGCCGACTTGCGCTCTCTCGGCGCACTCAGTAGAAGTATATTTAATGATATAATTGTGAATAAAGTAATTTAATATATATTATAAGTTATAACCTATTGACATGGAACTTTGATTTTAATTTTCAATCCTCAGCTATAAAAGTTGAACATTTTATACATTTTTAACTACGAAACAATTATTAAATTTTAAATTTGATTAATTTTGGCAAAATTCAAACTTTAAATGCTTATTAAAGAAATTGTGACTATGTATTTTTAATAGATAATTTTTTAGCTGCTAAAGTATCAATATTTTAAGAGCACCGCATTAAATTTCCAAGCTTTTTTACCGAACAAATAACATTTTATTGACATTCATAGAAAAAAAAAATAATGAAATTGGAAACTGAAAATGTTTTAATTTAAAAATGTTATCGAGTACAGAAAATGAGAATATAAACAACCAGTGAATATGTCATGTGTATACGGTCATTTGTTTTAGAGTTACACTAAAAACCATAAACAATTTTGTAGAAAACCAAATTTGCATAAAAATTCCTGTTTTCCTTAGTTTTTATGTTGTTTTTCCCGTCGCTTTTCAAAACTATTGGGAATTTTAAAATTTGACCCCCCGAATGCACCAACTAGATTCACTTTCCCAACGAACAAGATACTGTTGAAGAAATTTGATGCAGTTTTAGTGCCCCAAACGGCGATGACACAAAAATTAAAACATTTAAAAAAAAAATTCATTGCTCCGCTCAAAATCTAAAATATAGTTTTTTTTTCTAAGAAGTATATTTTTAATATTTTGCATACAATTTGTTATTGGTAAATTTTTCTTTAAAAATTTAAAATCAAGGCTCAATTACTGTCTTGTCTTGATTACTCCAAAACATCTATAACTTAAATTGTTCTCTTAGCACTGAATATTTTTTTAAGTGGTATTTGTGGTATACAACTCAAAGAATACATAAGTTTATTTTTAAATAGCTTAAGATTCGAGTTATTGAGACGACTGTATTTAAACGTTTTAAATTGACAGACAATTTTCTTTTATAAACATTTGATATCCAAATTTGGACAAAACTAGACATTTAAATGAGGAATAACACTTTTAGTTATTTTGTTGGAATTTAAAAATATTATTTCTTATTTACTTAAAATGTTCAAACTATATTATTGTTATTTAATATTTGTACACACAATGACATTTTCAAATGCAATGTTTTTGTCAAAAATTAATTCAATCTATTGGCCCTATTGAACTATTTGCCAATAGTACCTAATAGTACAAAAAATTAGCATTGCTCGTCATGCACCAGGCGGCATTTTTTTTTTTATAGTGGTCTTCTAATCATAAATTCATTAAAAATATTTGAAATATCAAATTATATATAATATGGGTGTTATTATATTTTTATTTTTTATATTGTAAAGCTACCTTTATTGTTATAATCGATTTATTTTATAATACATGATGATATAAATAAACGTATCACAGCGCTACAGTAAAATATTGAGAACCAATGGTTACACTGTGGGTGTGAACCACAGGCCCCAAGGGGCCAATGCTCATTTGTTGTGCCCCCGACTAGTACATCATAAAAAGTATATAGTAACATAGGCTGATAGATCATATTTGCTCATCGTTTTTTTGTATGCAATGGTATGTCATTGATTTAAAATTTAATTTACATTAAAGTGACTGACTAGTTTTAATATCTTGGTATAGTTAGTAAGAAAGGAATTTTTGTAAAAACGTAATTTTTTTATATATAGGAAGCTTGTAGAATCTAACTCGTCTAAAGATTCAGATTCTTCATCAAAGTTTTTTAAAAAAACACCAAAAAGAAGAACCATAAATGATATTAATAAAACTAGCTATTTTGACTTGACTAGTAACAACAGCAGCAGCAGCAGCAGCAGCAGTTCAAATGAGGATTCATCTCCTATACTTGTAAAAAAACGTAGAAGAATGTTAGTTTTCAAATCATTTAATTTTTAGTTAAATACTAACCTATTTTAATTTTAATTTTAAAGAAGGCAAATATCTAATGAGGAATCTGAAGAAGCAAGTGATTCTGATAACAGTGATGCATCGCATAAACATGTAAGTATAATATTTTTAAACAACAATAACTTAGAATAATTAATGTTTATAATACATCAATAGCCATATCCCATGCTTTTCCCGCACTTATTTTCAAGTCTGGGAAAGTTAATGACAATTTTTAATTAAGTTAAGTTAAGTTGATAGACAACATTTCAAAAAGTCTAAAGTTAATAGTTATCCTAATTTTTATATAATTGTATGGTATTTGTAGAAATATATTAGAAAATAACAACAAAATCTGAAAATTGTTATGGTTTCAGGCTCAATAGCCACACCCCTCTAGAATGCTTTCAAGTTGCAATATAATTCTAGAACGTTTTTATGTTTATTTGTATATAAATAAATGCATAAAATGTTGTTAATTTTAATAGTGTTGTGTTTTGTTTATTTAGTTACCAAAAAAAGGACGAAAAAATATTCGTAAAATGATAACAAAAGATGAACTGAGCGAAGTAACCCAAAATGCTTTAAAAGACGAATTAATACGTAAGAAGCGTATTGAAAAACGTCAAAAAGAGGCATGTATATCATTAACTTAATGTTTTAATACAAATTTAATTTAACTGTTTGTTTAAATATTTTAGTACAATAAATTATGTAATCTCCCAACACCAATGGAACCATGTAAAAAATTGGTATTAGATTTTAATGTAAAGACAGGGGAAGAACTTGTTACAGTTCATCCAGATCTTGTTAAATTTCTCAAACCTCATCAGGTTAGTAGACTTACTAAGAAATAAAATGTTTTTATTTAATTTGAGAGTTTAAATAAAATAAATTTAGGTGGAAGGAGTAAAATTTTTGTGGAATTCTGTATTTGAATCACTGGCAATAATAAAAGAACATAAAGGAAATGGATCAATCCTAGCTCATTGTATGGGACTAGGTAAAACTCTACAAGTATGCACTACTATTCATTCAATATTTTAAGTTTATACATAAGCTATTAACTAATTGTTATGTAAATATAATATTTATTTTATTTTAATCAGTTGATCCCCAACACATTTTCTTTAAGAAAAAAGTAAATGTGGTTATAATGAATGTTAAAGATATATGTGCTTACTTAGCTTACCAGTGAATATGCCCATTAACTGCATATCTGAATATTGTTTCTATAAATGAGTTATAGTATTTTTCACTCTACATAAATATAAGAGGATGTGATGCCCGCTTCATTGTTTCCGTCTTACAAACATTTCTGTCAATGTTTATTTTATATTTAAATTTTATAGTGAGTTCTAAATATGTAAAATAATTCAATTTTAAAATGCTCCCGTCTCGCTTTTAAATTAAAATAACTAATATATATTATTAATGCAGATGATATTATTCTTACTATTAAATTTAAAAATTGGTCAATTTACTATAATATTAAAACTATACATGAGTTCTGCTGTACAAAACTTTGTATGGTGTACATATTTTATTATACATAGAATATATGTGGCATAACGTTCTCCTAACAGGATAAATGAATTATTAGTTTATTATTCTTACATATTATATAAAAAGGAAAAGAAAATATTAATAATTTATGTGAATTAAATTTTCCTTATTCATATGTGAACCAATTGATAAAGGCAATACTTTCTATTATCAGTCCATCTATATCCATAGACGTGCACACGGGGGGGGGGCGGACTCTGGGGTTTTCTTTTATAAATTCATAGATATTTATACTATACTAGATAGCGAACATTCAGTTAGGCATATAATTTAAAAATCCAAAAATATAATATTTTGTATTTGCCTCCATAACATGTACTATGTCACTATGACAACATTATGTCATCAATAAATATTATTTTCTATGGAGGTTATAATGGATATTAAGATGGAGTATCTATCAGTTTTAAACTTTTATTAAACGTGTATTCTAAAATAATAAGATAACTAAAAAACATGGTGTTGTCAATCATTCCACATGTTCGAAGGCACGGTCACCCCATTTTACGGTATTCATTAGTACAAAAATATTTGGTTCAGACGTTTTTATTCCCCCCCCCCCCTATGTCTATATCCACCATGAAATATTTAATCTGACATTTTTTTCAGATTATAGCTTTGGTTCATACATTATTTAGATACCCGGAGACTGGCATTAAAACAGTATTAGTTATTACTCCTAATGCAACAATTGAAAATTGGTGTAAGGAGTTTCATAAATGGTTACAAGATATTGATGAAGAACAAAATTTTTTGGTTCTTAACTTTTCTGAGTAAGAATACTAAATGTTATAAATTAGCTTGTTTTATTAACTTAAATTGTTTTAATTTTAGTTCAAAAACATATGAAGGTCGGAAGGCCATTGTAGATGAATGGAAAAGAGAACATGGTGTATTAGTTACAAGCTATCAGTTGTTTAGATCAGTTGTCAATTATAAGAATATTGACAAGTTCCCTACTATCTCTGAATGTCTTGTTGATCCAGGACCAGATTTGGTCATATGCGATGAAGGACATATATTAAAAAATCATAGCACTGCAATATCTAAATCAGTTAATCGTATTAAGACACTTCGAAGAATTGTGTTAACTGGAACACCATTACAAAATAATTTAAGAGAATGTATGTATTTCATTTACACATTCTTTCTTATAAGTCTACAATACGATTATTTAAATAGCAAATTCAAAATATTTATAATAAGTAGGGTTTGGGACTTCTTGCATTTGCATGTTTTTTTCATAGTGGTCTTAGTTTATTCTAAGTAAGTTATAACTTATAAATATGTCTTATGAAATGGCAAAATTAAATAGAAAGTTTGAATTTGCATATTTCTGCATACTTGGTAAAAGTGCATATTTGAGGAATTTTTAGAAATTTATGAATTTTCATCTTTCTTTTTTACTATGTAAGTACAATTTCTGGGTAATTGTATTTAGAAAACATTAAAAAATATTATGTTTAGGTACCATAGGCGCAAATAGCTTTAAGGTACGGTTTCCTAGCCGCGGCTAGTTGCAACGGCAGGCCGCAGCGGCTATAATGCTGTTCCATAGCAGAACAGTCGTTGCGACTAGCCGTGGCTAGGAAACCGTACCTTTAGAGATTTAAGGAGGCTGTAGCCTGAAACCCAGCATCATCATGCAATTACTATTATAATATTGAAAATGCTTAAAAAAAATTCAGACGATTTTTGGGGGCTCTATTAAAGTTGTTGGTAGAGGCTTGGTCACTGAATCCTCCCTATTTGCACATATGGTACATCGGCAAATAAGATTTTATGAGTCTATTTATGGCAAAACTAATTTACATCTAGATTCTAAATTGTAGGAAGAAATGAAAATCAGTATGTGTTTGTTTATCATAGTGTGCATATAGTGCATTCAAAGACGTTATACTATAGTGTAGGGTCCATGAGTGCATATTACGTTATACGTTATTTATTAACCCAGTACATATGCCATTATTTTTAAAAATTAAGTTGATTCATTTCACGATAGTTTAAAAATGCCCAAAACATGTAATAGTGTCTACTGTCCATCGTATATTGGAATTAGTAAACCCGAGTATAAATTATTTTTACTATGTTTATATACTTACCTATTTATTTTTGAGTTTTTTATTTCCAAAATTGTAATATAATTTCAAAATTTTAACTAATTCCTTGAACCCTAATAATAAGTGATAAATAAAACTGTTGTTATAATATATTATTAGTTTCAGTTATCACTCTGAAGAGTAAGAAATAAGAATGGTGTGCTTGAAATTCCTGATAAAAACTATTGGCGATTTTTATCCTTAGGAATATAAAGAGGGATATTGCCTGGGGCATGCTGACAAACGTTTATTCTACAATTTATTGTATTGTTTATATGATATTACCGTAATAAAACATATTTTGCTTTTATTTCAAAAACTAATGATGCCATAAATTTTTAGATATATCCTTGTTTGCTCCATACAAACTAACACAAGAATTTCAATAGAAATATGTAGGCTCTATAACTTGTATTTATTAGCAAAAACAATTGAAATAAAAAGTATTGATTTATTTTTTTTAAATTTTTTTTGTTGCTGTTCTATCTGAAAGAACTATTTTATTTACACACTCTGTGATACAGTTGTGACCTCATTGCCTTTACTCCTAATGATGCTAGCCAATAAATAGAGACATGCTTCTATTGTAAAGTAAAATAAGGATCAATAAATCCAGCTACATCCATCATTCTAAAACTAAAATAAAATAATTATTTGTCCACATATTAATGTAAATATTAATAATAATATTTAAAATATGTTTATATTAGGTTAAAAAATTATTAAGCAATTAACTAAATATTTGTTTGAGAACACTAAGTTTATTTTTTGTTGTATAGATCATTGTATGGTTGATTTTATCCGACCAAATTTATTAGGGTCTATAAAAGATTTTACCAACCGTTTTATAAATCCAATCACTAACGGGCAATACTCTGATTCAAATGTAAGAGATGTCAAAATTATGAAGCGAAGATCTCATGTTTTACATAGAATGCTTGAAGGATTTGTGCAGGTACTTATTCTTTATAAATTTTATTTTAAATAACATAATAGATGTTATAGAAGACGTCTAAAAACTCTAGGGTTTATTATGTTTTGAAACAGTGGAGTCTCAATGAGTTGATATTCAAGGAAAATTAATGTTTTTAATTTATAAGAGTAAAGTTTGGTTAGATTGGATTAGGCTAGGGAACGGGATTTATTTTGACTTATTAAGGATGTAAACTCATCAAGGTTTCCACTGTATAGTAATGGTATTAATTAAATATTTTTTTTTTTTTTTAGAGATTTGACTATAGTGTTCTTACTCCTTTCTTACCTACTAAGCATGAATATGTAATTTATTTGAAGCTGGCTGATAAACAAATAGAATTATACCAGAAATATTTGGATGAATACAGACAACCAGAATTATTTAGTAATTATCATATGCTCCAAATGGTTTGGACCCATCCTAAATTACTAGCGTTATACTTGAAACGAATAGAATCAAAACAAGAAGTATAAATATAATTTTAATTTGTTAACTATCATATAACAAACCAAAATATTATGGTTTTAGAAACAAAAACTAAAGGTCGCGGAAACACGTTTTGTAGCTGGTGACAGTAGTGATATTGATGATAATTCAAATTCGGTTGATGAAGTTGAAAGTAAGTTTAGAACATGAACTGTTATTGTAAAAGTATATAAGGAGCCTTGTATTAAATTGTCACTCATTTTTACCCAACAAATAAAACTTAATTGACAATTATAGAAAAAAAAAAAGGTGGGCAAGTGGGTGTCGCTCTGCTGTACAGTAGGTTACAAGTGGGTCACTGTATAATGGATGGTATTAAATTTGAATTCAATGATATAATATCATTGTATAAGAAAAACGATTCTGAGCGGTGACGGTATGTCCTTCTAGGTATAAGACATATTATATACATATCTATGGTATTAAAAAAAATTGACCTATAATGAATTCCAAAGTAATCATCACAATATCCATTAGGTACTTATAACGCGTTATACACCAACAACAAACCCTGATACTATCATAGATATATATAGTAGATTACTTTAAAAATTTCAAGTACCCACGAATAATATTATACAATCACAACAAAATAACTAAAATCGTAATTCTTGGTTTAAATATGAAATTTTGTCTAAATTTGAAATTAAAATGTCTGTAAAAAATAAGTGTGTTTATATATTTTTTAGATTTTTTGGTTACAGTATGAATTATTTAAGAGAATCTTTGTTTTAAATTTTCAACTCTTAGTTATAAAAACTGAACATTTTATAATTTTTTAATTCCAACGATTGATAATTTTCGAGATTTTGATAAATTTTGTCAAAATTCCAACTTTAAATGCTTATAAAAAAAAATCGTGCCTATGTATTTTTAATATTTTTCAACTGATATTGTAACAATATATCAGGAGCCTTGTATTAAATTTTTACAATTTTTGGCCCAACAGATAAAACTTTATTGATATTTATAGAAAAAAAAACTAAAAAAAATTGAAATCTGTAAATGTCCATAAACAGCTCAAAAAGAGTCAAAATATTTTCAAAATTGTATGGTGTATAGAAAATGCTAATTTAAACATTCAGTGAAATTTTCATGTATCTACAGTTGTTCGTTTTTGAATTGCAACAAAATAAAGAAATCGCTACATGAGTAATCGAGTGAAAATTCAATGTTGTAAAAATTTGAATTTCAAATGCTCATAAAAATTTAATTTGACTGTCCGGTAGAGATTTTTTTATTGATAAAGGTAGATAATCTTATAAGGAATCTTGTGTTTCATTTTCAAATCTTAGATTTAAAAAGAAAAATTTTTACGAATTCTTAACTCAAAATAATTTGCTAATTTTCGTCATTTTTCCATATTTTGTCAATTTTTGAACTTTAAATGCTTATAAAAAAAAATTGTGACTAAGGATTTTTAATATTTTTCATCTGCCTTTGAAACAATATATTAGGAGCCTTCTATTAAATTTTCAAGCTTTCGCAACCAACAAATAAAATTTTATTGATATTTTTAGAAAAAAAACTAAAAAAAAATTGAAACTGACAATATCCATAAACAGCAACTAAAATCAAAATATTTTGAAAATGTTATGATTTATATTATTTTTGATTTTTCTAATTTATTAATTTTGTTGGGGGTTGTCAGTTCCAGGTTTTGACTTGCCAAACACTAAGAACACAGATACGCATTACACTGACTGGTGGAAGCCATTTTTATCAAGAGCTGAAATGGAAACTGTGTACCCGTATTCCAAGTTCATAATGTTGTTTTCAATACTTCAAGAATGTGAAAACATTGGTGATAAAGTGTATGTATAACTTTTATATTAAGCTAAAAATTAATCTATAGCCTTGCTACTATTAACTATTTAGTCTATTAAAATACTGGAAATTAAGTTATTCCCATTTTTTGCTTATAGCAAGAGTCTGGTATATAGCACCAATTAAAAAACTATTGTTTTTGTTTGAGACCCTAATCAAATCTTTTACTTTGATATAGGTTATTATTTAGTCAGTCATTATTTACTCTTGATCTCATTCAAGATTTTTTGGAAAATGCTGAAGATTTAGATGATGAAGGAGGTCCCTATGGTAAATCTTGGGATCACGGTGTAGATTTTTATAGAATTGATGGTTCAACTAGTTCAAAAACAAGAGAAGATTTTTGTGAACGATTTAATAATCCAGAAAATACTAAGTAAATTTTGTTTTAACTCAATCATAAAACAAATTATAATTATAATATTAACGATTTACCTAACTATGGAATAATTTATTTTCAGAATGCGTCTTTTATTATTGTCGACAAAAGCTTTTAATTTAGGTATTAATCTAATTGGTGCTAATCGAGTTATTATTTTTGACGTGACATGGAATCCATCTCTTAATGTTCAAAGTATATTTCGTGTGTTTAGATTTGGACAAAAAAAACCATGTTACATTTATAGATTAATTTCTGAGGTAAATATAATAACAAAAAAGTAATGAAGACTATATTCATAGTTAGGAGTAATGCAATTTCTACATCGTGGAAGTCCATTTTTTTTTTAATATTCTTGAATTTAATATTTTTTTCAGTGTTGATATTTTAACTGTTATTAAAATTTTATAAAATAATTTTAGTATTCACCTTTATTGGTTTATCTATTTTAAAAATTATTTTAATTCTAGAAATCATATATAATTTCTTCCATAGATTTTTCCTTTAATCAATTTTTGATGAATAATAAATAAAATATCTACATTAAAAATTTTTTACTGATAGTTATCAAAAAAGACTTTAATTTGTGTACAAACATTTTTTTTATTTAAAATAATTGAATTTACTAATGTACCTATTATCTAATTATTTTGTATTATGTAATAAGGGTACAATGGAGCAAAAAATATATGAACGTCAAATATCAAAATTATCTACAGCTTTCCGTGTAGTTGATGAACATCAAATTGATCGTCATTTTAACTTGAAATGTCAGGAAGAACTTTATGAATTTGAGCCAAAAACTACTCAACCGAAATCAACTTTAAATTTACCTAAGGTGCCCTATTAAATTATTTTAAAAATATTTGTATACTATTTATATTTAAATATTTTCTGTGAACTCTGGTAGGATCGTTTAATGGCAGAGTTAATATTGAAACATAAAGATCTTGTAATGGACATATTAGAACATGACTCATTATTACAAAATAATGAGGCCGAAGAATTAGATGAAAATGACAGAAATGCAGCATGGGAAGATTATGAAAAAGAAAGAGATGGACTTCCTCCAAAAGATGTAGATTCAATTTTAATGCAGAACATTAATTTAGGTAATCAGTGAATATCTAGATTTTAAACTATTATTTATTAAATGCAATTTTGCTTTATTTGGTACAAAAATATGCTCTACGGGAATAATAATCCTGTTCTGTAGAATCAATCAAATTTCTTTTTTAACTATTAGAGGGTAAACATGGGGAAACATGAAGGGAGGATATCAGAGGTCTTGAGATTGTGGTGCTTCAATAGGGAATATTTAAAGTCTTATAATTATGTAAGACTTAGTTTTAGAAAGTTTTTAAACAAATATAATAAGTTATGTATCTATTTGTAGTAAATATTATGAACAACGAGGAAGTTAAGAAAATCCTTTCATTTAATTTTCTAAAAAAAACATAAGTAAGGAATATGCATATTTTTTTGTGAATGGTTTCGAAGATGTTATATCCAGAAGTGGTTAGGAAAACTGTGCTCATGCTATTAGTTGTATAATTTGTAAATTAATTTAATTTTAAATTATTTTCTTTTATAATTAAATTATAGGCTCATTGCCAGCCTACAGGTCAAATGATGATGTAACATTGTTCAATACTTTAAGAGAATTTGTAAGTCATTCTAACAATTGCATTTTTAATGTTTTTTTGGGTTGTAATATAATGGATTTAGAAGTGCTCAGGGTTATTTTTAAAGATAACGTATGGAAGCAAATATTATAACATCTTTTCTCAAATTCCGAGACCTGAGTACCTCTAAATTAATGATATTGATTTTTATTTTTATTTTTTTTTTTTTATAGTTTCCTCAAGCTTCAATGATGCAACTCAATGATATGTTAAAAAAAGTAAAAGATGCCCAAATTGAACAATGAAATATAACAATAATATTTTTTTTTGTTCTTCTAAGAATAAGTATGAATTTACTCCTAAAACTATATATAATTTGATTGTATATTATACACACTATTTGTGATTTCTATAATAAATTTAATATTTCTATAATATGACTAATTTGGTATTTCATTTATAAAATAAAAATATTTTATTTAAAAGAATTTAGGATTTTATCTGCAGCTGATGAGTAATAATGACGTTATTGCTTATAAATCTTCTAAACTCGCAATCTTCTTTATTATTATTATTATTTTTTTTTTTGGGGGGGGGGATGGGTTGATGCTTTAACAACTGAAATCATTAGCCCGTGGAACTGTGGGGGAGGTTATTTGTAGGTTTTGAACACGTGTGTGTTTGTTTTGCAGATTTTTAGTGAGGACCCTTAGGTATCTGCCATGCCCGGTTGGGGGATGGCGGCCTCTCTCCAGACACCGTGACTGCTCAAGAAAATGCCGCCTGTGGTCGAGTTCGAACCGGTGACAGTGCGTGTCACAACCGATGCCTTATTCCGCTCGGCCACTCCGTCCCCCTTTATTATTTCTGTTAGTAATACAGTCAGCTAAACTAGCTTTAGCAAAAACAAATTGCATACAATTATTAATAATAGACAATAAGTTAATAACAGCTAGTAATGTTTTAAGTGATCGTTGTCGTACCGTATGACAGTGTTGAGTTAATATTAAACCAAATATTTTGAAAATTATGATATCAGCTGTTCTTGTGAAAAGTTTTAAGTCAACATGTATAATATTTTTAAATTACAAAAAATAATTTAATTCATCTTTCTTTGTTAAAATTCCAAATTGAAAAGTTTATAAAAAAAAAAAAATAGTATTTGTATTTTTGAGATTTTTAGGTTTTTGTTTGTGTAACTTATGAGGAATTTGCAAGTTTTCACTATGAAATATTTAGAAAAATGTTCAAGTTATAAAACGGAGTATATTTATTATTTACATTAAGATTTAAACACATCTTGCAGAAATACACAGAAAATTGTTGTGAGAAATATACTATTTCATAGAATGTATAAAATTATTATTCTTATTTCTCATAAGGACATTAACAGTTATAAACTCCCATTAATACTCTACAGAATATTAGGCCATCTCTGATAATTCATACTAACTCTAAATAATATATAGATAAAAAATAACTTTTGTCAAATTTTCAATATTTAAAATTTTTATAGTTATTTTCTGATTCAAATATCCAGTTCCATTACTCAATTTTTTATTTAACGCAATGGAATTGAAAATTAAAAATATTTATTATAAACTACAAAGTCAAATTATTTGAAAATTAGTATTAGAGAATATAAATGAAGATTTAAGACATAACTGTTACGGAGTAAAAATATTTTTATTTTTTTGTACTGTCAACAATTTTATCTTATTTAAGAGAAGTCAGTGGCGGTCAAACGGGGGGATGAGGGGGATAGATCTAATACTTATTCGTAATAAAATTGATTATTCTTCATCCTGCAAACTATATAGATAGATATCCATACCCATTTATGTAAATGTATTTTTACAAATATAACCAATTTGCATATTTTTTATGTACATTTTGTCACGTTTTAATTAATGTAAATTTGTTTGCATATACTTACGGTATTGTACACCTTCGCTTATTTCCCATATGATGAAAGTTTTAAGTTTATATACCTACCTACTACAGCCTACAGGTATAGGCGTCTACGAGCATTAATTAATATTAATCATTATAAGCATGTTAATATCATTTTTTTACGAATGTAGAATTTTTGCATAATATATACTTTAAAAAAAAAAAAAATATATATTTTCGTTATTACACGTTCAATGCCGCGGCCTATTCGCCGTGCCGTTACCGCGTCGCCGCAACGAATTTCCGCACGGTCGACTATTGTAATATACCAATATATTACGTTATTTGTCATATACCTATTTCTTGTAATCGTCGCGGGCTTATCGCACCGACGACCGAGCGATCCTACATCCACTAATATTATATATAAGACTTTTGAGTCATTTAAAATCCTTGAAGATAGAGTCACTATTTCCAAATGTTGAAGTGGCTCTAAGAATATTATTTGAGAATGGCCGTCACAAATTGTAGCGGAGAAAGATCTTTTTCTGCTCTAGGGCGGGTGAAAAACATTTTAAGATCCACTTTACGCCAGGATAAAATGAAGGCCCTTGTACTTTTGTTTATTGAAAGTGAATTCATGAACAATATTTCTTTCGATGAAATAGTAGAGTCTTTCGCAGCGTTAAAATCAAGGAAAAAACTTTTTTAAATGAATAATATTTAGTTCAATCATAAATTAAAAATGTTGAAATGCTTTTGTGTATAATTTTATTAAATATAAAACACATTTTATTTTAAACAAAAAAAGTCTGTTGTTTTTACGTTTTCTTAATCCTCGTTTTACCCTCCAACCACTTCGATCATTCATAGAGGCGCCAAATCAACCCTAGCCTACTGGTGACCAACTCCTTAATCAGGCCCTGGTTATATGAATACCAAAATAGACTCACGACAGCTAATAATATCAACTCTAACGATACATAGCGATACATAGGAAATCTTAATAGTAAGTTAAAGCATTTTTAATTAATACATATTATAATTATAATATTATTACGATAGGAATGTGCTATGTTTTTTTTTTGTTTTATTGTGACTTGAAAATTGTTCTAAAACATGGTATGGAAGAAAACATGACCGACAAATAATGACGAGTGATGACAATATAGAATAATATTATTGTGGCCATGTCTGAGAATTTATGTTATATACCTGGCAAATGTATTACACTTTCACTCGGTACTCGATAAAGGTCGAACCACTTATTGTGCGGTTATGCCTATAATAAAATTATATTATTGTACAACTGTCAAAACACTCATACCGTCGAAAAGTGATTTCCAAGTACAGTAATAACTAATAGATACCTGTTACAAGATTTGTTCAGATTAGAATATTACAACAACTCAAGTCAATATTTTATTATATTGTAAAAACTGACTTATACACTCGACAATACGAAAAAAGCAACAATAGTTTTTTGTGTTCACAATTTATTTTTTTTTTACAAATATGACATTTTTAATTTTGAATATAATTTCAAAAACGAAAACAATTTCGGAAACGTTTGCCGTTATATTATTATACAATTTTGTATGTTCAAAAAAAAGTTAGAACAAAAAAAAAAAGCCGAAATTTATAAAGTCAATATTATTCGATATAAGTAAAGAAAATTTAAATGGAAAAAAAAATACGACGGACAGGAGACACAATAAACTAGGAGGGGAGGATACGGGATGGCGATTTGGTGCGGATATGCAATGATGTGGCCACTGACTGGTCACCTCTGCACGTCCCCACGACCGGTCCACCAGGTTGACGAGTGTCACGGGCGTGTTTTCTCGGTCGCGTGACGACCTTGCCCCGCTGGCGAGGCCAGACCGAGACGGCCACGCGGGAGCAACTACGGTTGACGGCGACGAGCGGCGGCTATAGCGCGCGATGTCGTGCGCGTCGACGGTTGTGGACGGTGACAACTCTCGGAGCGCCAGAGGTCTCGAGCGTCAACGCCGTCAACTGCGGCCGAGCGCGCTACGCCCGCGAACCCGTCTCGGTGGTGGTGGTCGGAGAACGTGCGCGGGTGACTTACGCACCTCCTCGTGCTCTTTCCTGCATCCTCCCCTCCTTTGCGTCGGACGACGACGAGAACGAACAACATTTTGATGAGTCAATTGTCTTGGACAGTGTAGCCGAGTCCGAGTGGTGCTGTCTCGGGGGTCTGAGGCTCAGACTCTGAAAGAGACAGCGCATCGCCACTCGGCAATTCACTGTCCAAGACAATTGACTCATCAAAATGTTGTTCGTTCTCGTCGTCGTCCGGCGCAAAGGAGGGGAGGATGCAGGGTTTCTTCTGGCTCTGGCCCTGGGGACTGCACGTCACCACTAGAAGTCGCTTCCATACCAATGGAAGATAGAGGATTTGTTACTAATTGTAAGAGGCTTTCATCGTCGCTCTCATGAAGATAAACGCCTTCCATTACACCGATTGCAATGCTGCGTATAAATTCGACTAATGCTGCCTGTACCTCGTTGCTTTCGTTGTTGACAGCCATTTTTTATTTGCAAGTAGATAGGTATATGTGTCAGTTGTAATTGAGAATTGCTAGTGAGCTAAATACAAGTCTCCCAACACAGAGACCGATCAATTCTAAAATCTCCCAGGCGACGACTTGTATCTATATATTGTTATATATAGTCAGATAGTACCATTGAGGAGTATACTCAATGATAATACGTTCATCGTTCATCGGCTCACAGCATTACCTTTTCGAGCCCGTTAATTTTTCTAAAGACTATTATTGATATAGTATAGGTAGGTACCTAATATTCTGGTATTAGTGTATTACGATTTGTATTACTCTGTGACTCGATGTGGACTAAAAAGGCTTAGCCGCCCAGAATCTTAAAGTTAATAAACAAGTGTACGAAAATGTAGATAATAATTTTGAATATTCATACACAAATTATTAAGTTTCTACTATAGATATCTAAGAAAAAACAACTCTCAAAATGTATTCAATGTTTAAAGTCTAAAACTTTAAGCTATATTTTAGTATTTACCTGTATGTATACATTAAATACAATTTTCTACTGCACAACAGTAATGAAACATTTTTGAAAATAAAATGTCTCAACTCGTTTTCATCTACCAGTATAATTTTGTCCGACAAAATAATATATTCTCCCCCACCGTTGGAGACAGTAGGTACGGGTACTGAAATTCAAGTTTACCTAAGTCCGTTACGCGGTTATCGTCACGTAAAATAAAATTGTATTAGCCAATGTGTCGGCATCAACAAATTATTCAGGGTGCGTTGCGTTTTGAATATGAAATTTTAAATATTCGACGTACAGTGGCAGTCAAACCCGGGGGGGGGGGGGGTGAGGGGGGATAGATCCCCCCCATGACTTTTTTTTCAATATTAATATTTCATGAACATTATACCTAATATAAATAGAGGACAGAGGTACATATTAATTTTTTTTCTAATTTTTTTTTTTTTTTTAAACAAATAGTTACCTATCTATGGTAAATTTTTATACACTAGATCTTATGTCTTACGATTTACGACTATATTTCGTATATTTTTATACATAGTGTCACGGTGTATGGTATAATAATAATTATTATTTACTATCTAGAGTCTAGACCCATACCTATGAATTAGGCTATTATTATTATTTATATTTACTATTAAGTTGTCTATACAAAATATCCGGGAATTACCATGCATACCGATATCGATACGTATTCCTATTTCGTAGCCAGCGCGGGGCTAACAGTTGGTCGATTTATCTTGAATGTTGAGTTATGACTAAACAGTTTTAAAATTTAAATCACAGGACACAGAGTTATAGACGTTATAATATTGTTATAGTTTGTCTTTCAACGATTCAGCTGAACAAAATTATATTATATTTTATTTTATATAAATAATATTAAAATTATTCATTATGAGTGCTAAAAGAAAGAATGGCTCAATATTGAGTTTTTTTTCTAAAAAAGTTAAACAATTAGATTATATTGACAGTGTAGATGCCTCTGAATCAGATGTTCCTTTGCCACAAAAAGTGACAGGCGAGACACTAGGGTCACAAAACCTAAATTTGGTAAGTACTTACTACCTACACGAATACAAATTTTAACATATTATTAATTTTCAGTTACCTTATATTTAGTAACTATTTTACTTAAACTGAAGACCAAATCTATTATTTATAATTTATTAAATATTAAAGTATAAAAAAAAACTTACTACTAACTTTACCTTTCTACTAATATTCAGATAGTAAAAGCGGAATTGAGCCTTTGGAAAATAAAACTTTCACGTACAGGGAAATCTCCAAAAAATGGACTAGATGCAATTAGGATATGTAATCCAGAATTATTTCCAAATGTGCACTCTTTATTAAAAATATTTTGTACACTTCCTGTATCAACCACAACACCAGAAAGAATGTTTTCATGCCTTAAACGGCTGAAAACATATTTAAGAAATACAATGGTAGAGGTAAATATGCTGTACTTACTATACTACATTATTTAGGCTGGAAGAAAATGCTTTTGGTTATTGGTTATTGGAATAAGTATTAAATTAACAGTTCAAAAACACTAAAATATTAATTCAAACTAACTTTTTAGATTAGTTCATTTCTTTTAGCATTTAGGTATAGTTAAATTATAAGAATATTTGAAATGTAAATTTAGTGCTTAATGCTTAAATGTTAATATATTATGTTTTAATATAAATTTTGTAATTATATTATTTTAGAACCGTCTCAATGGCTTAGCCACTATGGCTGTTCTTCGTGGGGTTGTAAATATAACCGCAGACGAAGTACTGGATGAATTGGCAAAGAAAAACCGAAAAATAGATTTAATAATATAATTAAAATATGTATTGTTCATTAATTTTATGTTTAAAAATATGGATTCTTATAAATAGTGTTTGTTAAAAAACTGCTACATCCCCCCCCCCCCATGACAAAATCATTTGACCGCCACTGAGAGAAGTTATGAAAAAAGCATTATACAATGCAAGTACAAGTTTTTTTATTTTTAATAGTTAGGCCACTAGTATGTTTAATACAATAAAAACAGATTAATTTAAATTATTTGTCAATAAAACAAAACCAATACCATACTGTATACTGTGTATGTAGTAATGTAGTATACAACAGAATTCTTTAAGTTTTTCACAAATTCATCACAATTGGTTATTTTAAAGTGTGTTCATTTTTTGACTTCAAGTAATATAAATATTAAATTGTTATTTATATTCTTCATGAATTTAGTCATGTTTGCATATTTTATTATGAATTTTATACAATATAATGCCAAAATATCAGCTAAAGGGATTATATCTAAAACTTATTGAAAAACTGATACATATGCTAATCCAATCATCGAATGAGCGTTGCAGTCAGTTATCAATATCAATTGTTGACCAAAACTTTGTACCAAAAAGTTGGTAGGTATAAATATACCAAATTATTATTTTTTATTTAACTTTATACTAATAATTCAAATTAAATTGCTATAGAAAATTGCACTAGGGATTGAATTATGTTATATTATATAATTTATGTTAAACGTCTCGACTACATATTACCATGTGCGTACACGTTCAGTAAAAGATTATAATATAATTTAATTTTGTTGTATGAAAAATTATTGTATCAAATGTTTTATAAATATAAACAATTATCAACAATTCAAATTTAAAAATTTTATAAGAATTTTTAACCATTGATGTTAACATTGATTAAAATAGCAAAATATACCTACACCACGGTCTTGTTGATAATTTTTTTCTAACCTAATATTACCCACATATTTATCAGGAAACAATTTTAAAAAGGTTAAACATCAAATAATAACCATATCAATAATATATAAAAAATTGTATTTGTTGAAGACTTACACTAAAATGTGACTAGATTTTAAATTGTTGTTTATATTTTGGACAGCGGAAAACTAATAAGATTACCATTAGCAAATACATTATTCGGGTCTAGCATCTTTTTAGATGCACTGTAAAGCGATAGTACAGTTTTAGACATGTGTTTCTCATACCAATGTGCCCGTAATTTACCCACGCCATGATGATGAGAGATAGACCCTCCAGAAGCCATAATAGTGTCTCGGGCTATGGTTTCAATATGATGGTAAGTTGATACTGGATCATCTAGTCCGGTCCAATTAAATCCAAAATAAAAATAAACACAACAACCGGAGTCGTATGTCTGTGTTACTCGACAGCTAATCAAGTAATACTTGATATTAAGTTCTAAAAGACAAAAAAAATGTTTACCCTAAATGAAAGGTCAATTTTGATAAAATAACAATTATATTATTCACTTACTATTGCATTCATTTGCTACAACTTTTTTGACATTATCACATAAACTGAGAGTTTTATCCCAGGATACTGATGTTTCAAACGATTCAGCTACAACTCTATATTCTAACGCGAGATCCTAAATATTAATTTCATTAGAATTTATCAACTTAATAAAAATATTAAAAGTATTAAGTTATTTTTCTTACACGTATATAAGCTATAACAAAGGTCAGCATATAACCACGTTCTCCATTTCTCTCTCCTGCAGTTACACCACCAAAAGACACAGCTATTTTAGCGATGCAATTTCTATGTGAAACTACTTTAGAACGTTTACCTAGACAAAATTACCATTACTAGTAAGTTATACATAGGTAGAACACAATAGCAGAACCACCTTTTTGAATAACACAATTGCAAATATTTTTACCTCTTAACTGTCATATGATTAACACTAAACACAAAATAGTCATAATAATTTAATAGCTATAACATGATACATTTTTTGACAAATATTGCTGGCGAGTGGTGGCAGATTATTTTTAATTTAAGTTAGTAGCAAGAACTTAACATGATTAAAAAAATAAGATTATTGTCATTTAATTTAAGAATGTAGTTATTGTAAAAAAATATTAATGATTTGTCAATTATGTAAATCAATCATTATGGTTACTTTAACTTATACATCAAAATATTTTTCTTAAGTACATGTTGTCACTTTCCAGATATTTTTAGACACCTCATTATATTCTTATTCTTCTATTAAAGCTGCTAGTAACAATTAAAAAAATGTGGAAGTACTTAATAATATTCATTATGATCAAATTTTTTTTTCTCGTAGTTTTGGTTTATTGACTTCATCATCGTCAATATTTGTAATTGGGTTTCCTTCAACACTTGTTTGCAGTTATATGCATTGTAAGCAGTGGCGTGGTGAACATTTATAAACCTCGATGCCCAGCATATATTTCAGAACCTACCTCCTTTATCCCTTTAATATAATATATAGTACATATAATTATTATGTGACTGTAAATATTTTAATTTTTGTTGTATGTTATTGGTTACCAAAATGTACCCGACCACCCCACCCCAGCTCCACAAAAAAAATCCCCATTCACCACGCCACTGATTATATGCATAAAGTATTATTTTTTCCGTCCGCTGTTAATCATTTGCAATCGAGTTATCAAAAAGGTAAAATATTTGCTATATCCTATAGCATTGGTGGTATATCGATAATACTATCAAACAGTAGGTAAAAAAATCACCTTCAAATAGGAGTGTCATAACACATATGGACTCTAAACGAAAACCACAAACATGAGTCAAGTAAGTTTTCTTGAAAAAATCTAACAAGTTTCCAAATGTGTTTTCGACAGGCCGTAACGCCTGACCAAATCTGAACTGTGTGTTATCCATTAATCGTATAGACACAGGTTGACATCTCTACAGATTTAAATGTAATTATTCATTATTTAATAGCTTAATTGTGAAGATAATGTTTAAAACATACTTGTTTGGCTACTTCTCTCATACATTTTACTCCTGATTCAAAATCAGGAAAAACCACAGAATCATAAACACGACAATCTGGAAGAGGTCGAATTTTTAAGGTCACTTCTGTAATTATACCTAATGTACCTGAAATATAAAAACAGTAATCAATCTAAAATAATGTTGATTATAAATTACCAACAAACAAACCTTCTGACCCTAAGACAATTTGTTGAAAATCTGGTCCACTTGACATTCTAGGGACCTTACTGTTTTTTTCGACCACCCCTCTACAAGTGACCATTTTAGCATCAATTACTAAATCTTCAATGTTGCCATACACATTTTTCTTCATGCCCGACGCTCTAGTAGCGACCCAACCACCTAAACTGATTTGTTTAATACACATTACTGATTATAAGTTTCTTCCAGTAAATAATAATACTAAAATTACAGCTATATTCAATAAACACATGCATGTTTCTATACTAAGAATAAAATAAAAATGTATTAGTACATTTAAACAACGCACACAAAATGTGACTAAAATACTAAACTAAATCAAACGATTGTAATACTTAAAAAATAGTAAATACAATAAAAGGAAACTTACTACTTTAATGATTGCTACAAAGGCTACACTCGAGTTTTTTTTTTTTTTTATTTCAATGAATACCTAGAAAACTCATAAGAGTCGGGTTCATGTCCACATGTATAGCCTCGTTTGTTTAGTTCTCGTTCTAAATCTTGACCAATGACTCCGGCTTCAAAACATACCAGTAAGTTTGATTCATCCAACCACAGTAAACGGTTCTATAGAAAAGAAAAGAAATGTTTCAAAGGCCACTTTAATTTTTTTGATATTGCAATATCATACGTATTAGTATAATTACCATTTGTGAAGTGTCCACACTGACTATACATCTATTTTCATTGGCAGGACACGATACTGCCCCAGATACATTAGTTCCACCGCCAAACGGAACAAGTACAATGTTATGCACATTAACTAATTCAACTATGCTTACAACATCGTTATGATTTGCTTAAATAAAAAATATTCTTGTTGCAACAAAAAAATTATCACAAACTAACTCAAAACTAAATAATACATACCAGGCCAGACTACTAAATCACAAATGCGTGGAAAACATTTACCATATCTGAGGGAATAAATATCATAAAGTGTTTGTCCATGGGATCGCAAAAGTCTAGCTGAGCTATCAATCGTATGGTCAATTTTCATTTCTTTGAAGATGTTTAATAATTCTGAAAAAGTATTAAAAATAATTTTGTAATAAATTATATGCAAAAATGATTCCATTAAATAAAACTGGTACAAACTCGTAGATACGCGGCAAGGTGGAATCTCTGTGGAACTGAACTTCTCTCTAGGCACATTCCTTAGAGTTAGGTCAATATTTAATACTTGTTGGACCCATTGAGTAAAAAAAGGCAAATCTGTTTCACCAATGGAATACCTGATTGGGAAAAATTCATCATTAATTATACAACTGTTTTGTATTTTAATTGGTTCAAGAATGAAAGCACCCATTCAACAACTCAAAACGAATTAAGAACAAACGAAAATAGAGTTCACCTATTGCCAGTGAACCGAATCATTCCCTGGTCGGTAACTTTAAACTTTGAATCTCTATATCCCCAGCCATTCCACTTCAAGACTTCTGACCTGAAGAAAAAAATATTTGTATTCAAACACAAGTTGTGGTAGGTATGCACTATACGTACAGTTTATTTCACATTAAGTTGTTAGGTCTACCGTTTTTGTTATTACCAACCTGTTTTTTGGTATGACACTCTGAACCTTGGTGTTGGCCAGAGGTGGCGAGGAGATTTTAAGAGTTTCATTGGATTCCTTTTCATCCATGGGGAAGTGTCAAATGTTTGCGATTTAGACTATTCAAATACTTGCACTAGAAAGCCTTGGATCCGGTAAAAAGTTGTTAAAAAGTATTATTATTTAGCACTAACAATCGAGTATTGTAACTCAATGAATAGTGTGTAACGTGTACTGACTACTATGACCATAGACTAACTATACACAAGTACAGCGTGCTCGGTAAACTGTAAATTGTGAATTGTATATTTTCGTATTAACTGATAAGTAGGTATTTGACATAATATGTTGTGCAATAAACTATAGAGTCATCGACTGCCATAGAAAAGTAAGTGCCTGCTGAGATTTCTGACCACAGACAAGTACGATATAAGTGCACAACTACCGACGAGCGAGTACAACGTTCCTAAACCTTAGCAGCTAAAGTGTAACACCGTGACAAAATCGAAAATACCATGACAAAATATTTTGTCATGCGCTAGTACACCATAATAAAACCATAGAGCATAATAGACCACGATCAATATTGAATAATCAATATAATTTATCATACGATCTATTTTGTCACGAGTACGACGTTCAGCGCTCCTAGCGGCCGTACTTAACATCATTCGCTCTCCAGTGAAGGCCGGACGACGATGACGGTACTCAACGAGGTGGAGGTGGATATTCGAATCTTCGTCTCGACGGTATGGATCGGCCGTCGTCGTCGTCGTCACGTTCGTCATGATAAAAGACAATAACAATTGAAATTGATAACGGACAAAGGTGTGTAATCACTTTAATCAGAGGGCTGATGGCGAAAAAGGCAATTGTCAACAATAATATTACACGGCAGCGCAGAGTCGTACACACGAACGAGTAACGACGAACGGATAGCTGAAGCAGACTCAAACGTAAATCGCGATGATCGTCTGTCGCGGTACAGTCGCGTTTGCTGGTCCAAGAGAATAATTCCGCGGTATTCAGTGTTCACAGTTTGCGTCCCCGTTCGTCGTCCGTTCTTTTCGCGCACACGGGAAGTGCGGAAATGCGTTTGAAATGGAAGCCTACTATATGTGGGAGCGGGTCCATCTAACCGAGGACATGAGTCGGTCGTGCAGCTCCTGCGACTGTGTAACGTATTCGTATTTTTTGATATCCGTGTTCCTATTCACATTGGGCTCCATCATATCGGTGTTCTCGTTCGGGGCGTTCGACGACACTGTATTCGCCAACCTGGGCCACATGTGGATGGTTGGACCGCTGTGCATCTGTTCGGCCGTCATGATCGGCATCAGGAACATACTGTATTTGCGAAGGCGCCGCGTCATCGACATGGTCATCCGCCAACAGATAGAGGTAAGAACCACAGCCATTCGTTACTGTCGGATGACGGTTTTATTTTATTTTCCGTGTGCCCCCAGGACATACGATCTCAACAGGGACAGTTGGCGGACGCTCAACAACAGTATTCGTTGCCGATACGCACGGTTAGCGAACTTACCTTGCCCCCGTCTTACGAACAGTTGATAGGCAGCCACAGCGAAGAGGGAAGTGACCTACCACCGCCATCATACGAAGAAGCTATTGTCAGCATGTCCAAGGAAACAACCAAAAGTGACGACATTATTGTCCTTAATTATTCTGTTAAATAATCTTGTGAGCATGACTTAATTGCGGGGTGGCCTCAACTAAAACATTATTCCAGAAAACTTATTTTCCACTTTAGACATAAAGTCTTTCTCGAAAATAATAATGCAAAATTATTTATACAATTAGCCAATCAAAACATTGGTAAAAATTACAATCGTTTTTAAAATTAGATCTAAAGCGATTTTACCTACCAAAAGTAAAAATATAATCTCCAGTTTTATTTGTAAATAATTACTCTGTATGTTCAACAGATTTTGTTCTTAATATTGGCTGTATGCATGTTACTTAACGACATTCTTTGCCATACAAATACATTGAAGACATGCATACATAGGAAAATTATCGACATTTTATTCAAACTATTTTTGTTTTATGAAGTTTTTTATAATTTGTTATCTCATTCAAGAGAAAAATTTCAATATTAGGTTTTAAAGGGTCTGATTTCAAGTGTATTTAATGGTGATACGACGGGTTATATAGTATTAGGATTTAGAAACTTGAACAATTTAATAGTTAAATTGTAGTTTTGTTGTTGTAGATAAATCAATACAATTTCCTATTTGTTGACATTACTCAAGTATCTCAGCTTTATAAGTATTATTAAACAATAACGAGCATAACATTTTTTTTGATGTTTTTGGAAAATATCGGTTTTAATAATTAAAAGTAATAGAGGATCACTAAATTAAGTGTATACTAACCTATGTGATTAATGTATACAATTTATTTTTGGAAACAGTATTATGTACAATCAACAGACTTGTCCGTCTGAAAAAAAAATATTCAAATTTTGCTGCTGATTTTCCATTTATAGGATTTATTTTTGTAGACCAAGTTATCATATTTTTATTCTGTGATTAATAATCTGAAAAATTCTAATATAAGACTAAGTATTCATAATTATATTCTAGAAAGTACTTAATTTTAAAACTTCCTTAATATTTATTAATTTCTCGATATAAATAGAATAATTCACTTTACAATTTATTATGTCCAAGAGCTAATAATTGTACTACATTTTAAGGATAAATAATTTTGCATGTAACACATCAGTTATTTATACCTTTAAGTTTAATTAAAATCATTTAAAGTTAATACAAACATGAACCAAACAAATCATTAATGATAGGCCATGAGCTTTTTGATGTGAATTATTAAAAAAAAAAAAAAAAAGAATGATACAAGTTTAGTCAATTACTCAATAAGAACCCATAATGTAATGTGTTATTAATTAAATATTTAAATATGTACTAGATGTTAATAGTATAATATATTAGTTAAATATTTGACAGTTATCTTTAGAAAACCGTATGTATTATGCAGAAATAGATTCTTCCCCTATAAATAAGTTTTAAATATTAACATCAAATTTACCAATAATATGCTTCCGTATGTACTCCATTTATCTTGAGATACCGCGAGCATAGCCATATTATGTTTCCACTGAACTTATCAAATTGTACCAACCAATAAACCAATATTTCTGTAGAAAATTAATGATCTCATGCAATTTCTCCTCTGGATGGGTCTAATATTTATTAATACAATTTTTAATTTGTTACTATACCCATGTTCTCATTTTACTAAAAAAATAATAATTTAATATACTAATATTAGTAATTAATACTATTAATGACTAGTCTTCCTTTATTGTTGTGTCTATAACCATGCCATTTTGAACTTGTAAATCACGAATGGAGATTAACCAACTGTAGTTAATATCGTTGATTGATACTAAAATCTCTCAGTATTGTACTTATTTCTATGAAATCTTTTCCAGTTTATTATCATCAACGGTATTATGTATAACGCAAACCGACCAACTGAATAAATTATTAATAGTCGTTAGGTTGCTTATGAGGGTATAAACTATATTGTGCTTTAAATTTAAAAACTGTTTGAATAATATAGTAACAATTAGTATTTTTTCTAAACTACTAACATTTCTTTACAAATGACGCTTTTTTTCTAGCACACAATTTATAATTTTCCATATCAAACTAATAAAGCTATTGTTGTTGTCTTAAGTATATTATATATAATTTTGTTCTATTTGCCAAACAATCACGCATAAATCTTAACGAAATATTAAGTCAATTGTTACGACAAGTTATGTCACAGGCAAGATACCGTTATTAATAATTTAGTCGCTAATTTTATATTATAGCAATAACATTGTGTACTCAATTTAGTTATTTTTGTTTACCATTAATCTCACGCCGTAATAATTATTTTTGTTGTTGTCATAAATCAATAATTAACATTAACAAATATGTGATCACTGTGTAATAATTATACCTAGTTGGCAATTGTGATATTTATTTATAAATAAATAATATATATTATATTAATAATAATTATATAATACACGCAAGTAGTATTATAAAAAAATGTTTGAACATGTACTTATGAAATAAATAAAACAATTAACATGTAAAATTGTATTTGTGATTACAGATAATATAATTATTAGAACAAACCCTATTGGATAGATATTTATTTTTCTTCTGTATTTGAAATTTAAATTGAATCCTAATTTACATAAAATAGTATTGAAAATATTTATAAGAATATGAAGGACTATGATGGCCATATTAAATGGCGTTATTGTTTCAAGGCAAAATTGTATTTATTGTTCTTTAGCAAATACAAAAAAAAAAGACAATTTGAATATTTTGTTTACATCAAAATCGTCCAAAATGCTCAATCAATTACAGTTACTTCTTCTTTAACCAAAAATTCGACCTTTTCTACCTGTACGTTTTTATCATCTGAATCTAGTTCATCGGTATCGATATCTGAAACAAAATATTTGGAATGAATAAAACATGTATGATAAATATAAATATAATCGTAGAGGTATGTCAGAAACAGTGTGTAGTGGATCTTGATTCAAAAAACGCCCTCACTCATACAACACTTATCAGTTATTACATTATTATATTAACGACAGAGTGTTTAGGTATGTCCGCCACACTGTGATACGCATATCACAACTTTTTCCTATGTGTTAGGTTTTCCGATCTTCAGGCTTTGATGAATGCGACCAATGAGAGAAGCGGAGAATGTAACACACAGTAAAGAGTGAGGGATATGCGTATTGCAACGTTGCTGACATATCTATATACTACACGTCATGAATATAATAATGTAGTAATTGTTTTATACATAGAGAGTTAATTGTTTAGAATGCTTAACTAATGAGATGGATTGACAAAAATGCCATTGAAAATATTCCAACATGTCATGTTTTGGGTGGGATTAATTTAAAAAAGAATTTCACTTACGACTTCTAATAGCCATTCTTTCAGCCTTTTGTTTATTCCAATCTTCTAAACGTTTGCTGCGGTATTCTTCGAATTCTTTAATCAATTTTCGACGTTTATCGATGACTTCCTATTTAAAAATAAAAAAAAATTTTAATCAAATATATTTGTTTTATGATAACTTTGTCAATTATACTTTAGAGGCTTTGGTCATTCGCATTTTATCTTTCGTCTCAAACTGAGAAGTGTATTTTTTCAAACTTTTCTTGGTATCCTTTTGTTGTTTAGCGCTCAACAGAGTAGGAGGTCTAGGTCTCCATTGCATATGGCAATAGGTATTTGTATTGAATCTATTCAATATTCTTCCTTGGAATGACCATATCCAATAGCCCGTATCACCCTAAAAAATATTGATACAATATTAAATCACAAATAAATATGCACAATACTGTCTAAATGAAATGAAATTAAAAATAATACGTTTTACAAAAATCATAATGGATAAACTCCTCTAAAAGCAAATTAAGTATAAACTGAAGCGATATAATCTGGCATAAATTAATTACAGGTACAATTTGTGTAATTGTATTTGATATAGGCAGAAATCCATTACAATTTCAGGGAGGCAAACACATTTAACATCAATGTGGGGGGTTGGTCGATCCAACACAACTAAAAACTGTATATTTTAAGGGGGGCTAATGTGATATTTGGGTGGTCTAGCACCCCTGCGATTTGTGCCTGTGGTATTTGATATTATTTTTGAGTGATTTTTAATGATATAGAAATACCAAATTAACTATTTAAAACTTGTCTGGTTAAATTAACATTCAATATAATGGTATAGGAAAATTTTTTTCTTATACCATTATAATTAAAAGTTTTTTTAATTATATTTATACCTTAGTTTTCCACGAACTAACGCCAGTGGCAACAAATCTTCCGGTTGGATCCCATTCAATATCAGTTGCTTTATAATGTTCTGTAGAACACATTGTGGTGAAGTCTGCGGTGTCAACAAATTCCAAAGCACCAGAATCTCGGATTTCAGCAATAACAATATATTGTCCGGCAGGTGACCAAAACAAATGACTGCAGAAATGTTTGTCTAACTTTTCTATAGGATAATACAAAAAATGTAAAATGTATCAACAGTTGGCAAATATGAATAAAGTTAACATTTTATTGCAATACTTATACTTAATAACTGTACAATCATGCTTTGCATATAATACAATACATTCAATTCATAGAACTATTGCATTCATACGTATGCACATTTAAATCTTTTTATAAAATTTGTAACCAAACATGTGATGTTAGAAAGTTATTATTAAGTAAAAGTAAATAATAAGTTGAACTTACTTAATAAGACTGGAGCTTGACCAGATTTGACGTTATAGAAGCTTACACTATTATTGCTAGGTTCACCGTGAATAATTGCAAACTTTGAACCAATTGGTTCCCAAGCAAAAGCATGAATCGGTTCTTTAATTTCAACACTGTCTACAGGTATATTTTTCTCTCTCATATGGAATATTTCAAAATTGAAATACATACCCTATAAAAATAAATGAAATTTATTAAGTGTAAAACAATATTATAACTCATAAGAAAGTTATCAAAATCAAAAGACTAGATAAATTCTTACACTGTATTTAACATCTCCCTTCTCACGTTTGATTTTAGCATAACGGTCGACTTTAACACATAAATAGTCACCAGCTTTTTGCCAATGAATTTTACAGTCTGCTACGTTAAACAAATTGTTAGCTCGGATTTCTTTGCGGCTAAAAACAATATTTAAAAATTAATATATAATAATAATAAAAAGTAGGAATATTTTTTTCAAAAGAGGATATGACGTACAATAAATTAATATTTTTTTAATTTATAATATGTAGTTTTTACTAACCTTGGTATCTCTAATAAAACTACTCGAGCCGGTACATCTTTATCTTCAGCAACCCAGTAGGCAAGTACATTGTCCCTGGGAGACCAACTAAAATCTCGAATACCGTTGACCGTTATACTTTTCTTATCCAACAAACCAAAAGACTAAAAACAAATATAATTTAAGTAAATTGTGTTAAATAAATATTTTTGCTACCTTTTAGGTACTTACTGGAGTTTCATAAACACTAAGGGTATTATGGCCGATCCGGGCAAAATATTTGTCATCCTTCGACCACCTTAATACATTACCAGCCATTGGAGCATCTGAAATAAATGATCGCTTTTCGGCCCCAGTGCGAATATCAAAAATGGTCAACTTTTGTTCACCATTATCTAATGGAGCATAAGCCACCAGGTATCTAAATTAAAAAAAACCAGGATGAAACTAATAGAAAATACAATATTTAAAAATATACACACAAATGACTTATTGACTTACTGTTCACAAGGAGAAAAATCAACAAATTGTACATTGCGATGAGAGAGCTTTAAAACATTTGTGAAATTTGGTCCTCCCCAAAGGACAACACCTTGCTTGTGTAGTGTTGCTAAGTATGTTCCAAGAGGCGACCACATAATTAGAGATTCAGTCCATTTCTTGAAGAAGAAAATCAATGTTATTCATCAAGAAAAAATTATCTAACAATATTGTACTTACTTCGCGTTCAACTAATTTTGTTGGCTGTGGATTGCTATTCAGCCAAACTTCAATATGACTGTTTACATTATAAACATAATATTGATCAAATGCATCAGGTTCACTTAAGAAATATTGAAGATTAGGCCTTTCTGGGAATGGCTGTAGAGTAGGAGCTTCCCATTTTTCAGGAATGTCGTTATATCTTAAAAATAATAATGGTATTAATCTTTATCCACTAATAAAACTAATAAAAAGTTTATTTAACTCACTTTTTGTAGTCAGAAAATAAGTTGATTAAAAAAGTATGTTGTTTGTCTAGCTTATAATTATTAGCTTGTGTAACAGCTTCTAATGCGCTTTCGTGTTTTTCATATTCAATGAATATATAACTAATAAAAGAAAACAATGGTTTTTATCAAAACTAATGGTAACATACAAAGTAGGAATGTTTAAAGCACTCACCCTTTAGTGTGACCATTCTCAGACTTTGGATAGTAATCGTTGAGAATTTTACCGAACTGTGCGAAGATCTTGGTGATAACTACCTTGAGTTTGTCGAAGCGTTCGGGGTTGACTTGGGGAACTCCGTCAACAATAATGACGGTGTCTACGCCATCGGACACTTTGGGTCTCTTCTGCAGTACATCACCAAGCAACTCTAAAAACGACAAACGTCACACGAATGAGTGAAACCTTAAGGTCCGATTATTTCGCGTCTTACCTTCGTCGGTAATGTCGTCGACGAAATTTTCCAATTCATTGGCGTCGGCATCGTCCTTATTGTACTTTCCTCCTCTTTGGCCGTCTTCGTGCTTCTCGGAATCTTTTTTCTTGGCCATGGTAGCTGTCGGGAGTCAACCGGAATAAGTCAAGACGACGGAACGAAAAAAAGACTGGAAAGCGCAAAAGGTACGAGTAAGAAAGCTTCAATAGACATTAGTCAACATTAGAAAATATATATTTTTTACAGGTTATGTTTCTGATTACGTGTGGAAGCCGCCCGCCGCGGTGGGCCGATGTCGTTGGGTCAGTGTGACCAATACATTGATATTAAACTTTATTTAATCTTTAATCATCATGGGCCAATCGGAGAAGGACGTCGGTCGTACTTTTTTTATTGTTCGCGTTGATTGTTGAAAGCAAATAACAATATTGGAGGGAAGGGATTAAGTTAAATGGGTTAATAGAGTAAACGGGCAACAGCAATAATATTGTTATTATTATGGACTTTTACAACAGCAGCTGAGTATATTACATATTAATCTACATTATTAAATGTCATGTAATCTGTGATAGCACATGCAATCATGAATTATGATCAAACCAAATGTCCAAATTCCAATTTAATTTTTAAATTCTGAGTGGCGTGACAGAATTCATCGGGCTTACAATGATTTGTGGTTTTTTTGTGCTCCGATTTTAAAATTCAAATTGGACATAGGCAGTTGATATTAAGGTCAAGAATAAAAAAATCCCAGTATCTTCCAACTTTTCAAAGTAAAGTTGGAATTTTTTTTGGCCTTAGGCTTATTTCATGCTTATTACATTCCATAGCGGCTAGTCACCACAGCCTCTAAATCCTAATTCCTAAGTGGCCTGCATGTGACCTGTTTTTTTGCTCAAAAACATGTCTTACAGGAAAAACTCTCACGCTTCGTAGAATCATGATAGAGAAAAAAAAAAAAAAAATGCGTAGAATGATCCGATTTCGATAATCTTAGTTTGTTTGAAAGAGAAACGCTTTTTACAGGGAGCATTGAACTTGTATTTTCAAGATTCTATGTCTAAACCATACAATACGACTTTGAATATGACCAATTGTCACAATATTTTGTTATTTTGATTATGTTTGTTTTAAGCAAAGAAATTAAATATCGAATTTCAATGCGCCCTGTCGAAAATTATCTTCTTTCTAACGAAAAAAAAAAAAAAATTAATCCAATCACACCACGACTCTACGATGTGTGAGAGTTTTTCTTGTAAAGCGTATTTTGAGTAAAAAATCACCCATTTAATTTTGGTCAGCGGCAACAAAATTGCATATTGCCTAAATATTGCCCCTTAAGGAGAGTCCACACTACCGCTTTTTAGAGTAAAATAGACCTATAGGCGTTCCAACGTACCAACTTGAGTTTTACTCCTATAATAATTTTGAAAGCATATTTGAATTTATTATGAAGTCTATTTTGAATCCTTCGGCACACGTGTCATATTATGCTATCTACCAACAAATTGTCGGTGTTGTATGCTATCTACCGTATCTACCGTAATCAGTATTAGCGTTGTCTCTATTATATATATTTATAGTTCCTTAAGGAATTTCAAAGTTATTTTGTATTTTAGATTTTAGTATGTGTTCGTTGATCGCATCAACTACTAGTACTACTACTACTACACACGCACACACGTATTATACAGATGGTCTAAAAATTGCCTATACCCAACTCCTTAAAAACGGTGGGCATGGAATCCCTAACCTAACCTTTTATTATACTAATCTATGGTCGGCAGCCACTCTAAAACTGAGAATATTATAGATATGTATATATGTATTCAATTGTAAATACCTATAGATAGATAGCAGCATGGTCAACAATATGGAAATACGAACCGCTTACAATTCGTTGCTAGACAGCGTCTGCAGTAACGCTAAGTATTATGCAAATGAATTTAAGTGAACACAAATATAGATTATGCTTAAGATCCCATAGGAATCAATTATTGAATTTGGAACTTTGTAATATGCAGTGCCACAGTGGTATAATATCGTTATAACTAGGTACGCGGTAGTCTATTTGACGCAAGAGACCCTCATCAAATGTTTCTAAAACTTTTAACGCTTTGGAAATAATATTTGCTTACATAATTTGAAGTCCATTACAAAACAATAGTTAAGCAATTTCGAAATAAATCTTATTTTTAATCGTTTATTAGTTTTTTTTTTTAATTTTGTGAACGACAGCGTACATTTATTTAATGTCATAGGTACCTATCAGAATTCAAAGTAAAAGTAATTATGGACGATTGTAAGTGAAGATGCTCAGAGGTTAACAAAATATTGGTCCACTTTTATCCGCTCGTTTAAACTTTAAATACCTAACTGCTTATAAAATATTATTAACTCTACTCGTTTAAAATTCGTTTTTTTTTTAAATTTATTGTATTGAAATTCTTAGAATAATATTTTGTTCAGTGTATAAAATTAAACATGTATGATGTCATTTAAAAAAGTGTAATATCCTAAATTATGATATAAATAACAATACAAAAAATAGTAAAAAATATGGTTTTTATCTCCAAAAGCATTCATATTACTGATCGAACAATCGATGAATTATAAGTAGGTAATGAGTGTTTTCTGATAAAGCATTGGCATTTAAATATTACAGCGAACTAATTAAAAACACTAATCGCTATATTATATTATTATAATTTATATTAAGTCTTAAATTGAAAAGGCAAGAGAACATTGAATAGCTACATGCATGTTATTATCAATAATTTTAATTTATAGGTAGGTACCTACCTAGATTATTATTTCTACTTTCGGAGACTTCAAAAAACGAACCTTGGCCGACGTAGAGTACTGACCTGCATATTAAACACCATTTAATGATAGTGTATTTTAATAAGCTACCTACTGATATATGTAGCCATCATGTAGATCGTAGGTACCTGTACTGGCGGGCTTATGCATTGTAGTCAAGTTATGTTTTGTATAAATTAATGTAGAGCCGTAGCCAACAATAATTATAGGTACTTACAACGTAATTGTTTCCTCGTACGGTTTATTTATCTAAAACAATAGACAAGAACGGCGAAATGATTTAAGAAAAATTAACAAAATCAAATAAATAAGTAGGTACCTAATACTTTATATTATTACGCTTACATATTAATATCTATTTTGCTGAACAATATTATGCAGCCCGTACCGCGAATAATGATACACCTATTATAATATTATGGTGATGACTACGATGATGGTATAATATTTTTCCAAAGTTTTCACGATAACCACGCGTAGTTGGTGTATCAATACATTTTCAAGTTCTCAGGATGATTGGAAATAGTTGTGAAATAATGCATAAAGTTTTCCGGGACCCCCCCCCCCACGAACTGCAGCGGCCCCGGCGAGTTATGTACGTATAGTCGGGCGAGCGGTTTTACCGTATATAGTTAGTAGACGTAGGTTTTCGCAATTCACTAGAAATCTACAGAAACATAATATAAAATGGCTATGCGAAACATTCGGTGTGCTCTGTTTGAGCAAAAAAAAAAAATGCTTACGGACATTCATTTATAATATTATATATAGGTATATATATATATACATCACTATCACTGTACAAACAGAAGAATTCTCGCAACCCTCAGAATTTAAAAATATCGGAATTCCTTTGTCGAAACGGGGTTTTTTTTTTTAAAACGTTTTTTAGTAGGCAGGATTGTTGTATATACCTATTATATACGCACATACTACCTAAGCAAATAAAGTTTGATTTACGGTAAAATTAATTTGTTTCGGTAGTGATTTTCGTTGTGATTTATTTTTTACACGACACCATTTTTCTACAACGCATTTGCTCGAGTAGGTTTAATTTTTTCAATAAAATATACAGGAAGCAAAGTAATATCTGTTCCAAATCTGAAATCAGTAATTATAAAAAAACCACAATCGAAAATTGTTTCTTTCATAAGCGATGCAAATAAGCGATGCAAACGATTAAAATGAAGTGAATGTAAATTTATTTTATTTGATCGCTCCGGAAATTTGTATTTGTTACCTACCGGTTATTATTTATCGTAATTCGTATTATAATCTGACATTTGGGGGTGACGTCGTGTTATTAAAAACTGATTTTTCCGTCGAAGAATATAAATTGTCCGTATAAGTTCAGACAAATTACATGGATAGGTACAAAAAGTTGACACAGGAAAAATAAAATATATAAATGTCAATAGGGACGGCAGAAATCATGTTACTCCACCGGCCCTATATTTTTATACAATATCAAGGATATTAAGACCGCACTCGTTTTTAAATCTCGAGCCTATTTATACTATTTTATAAAAATATTCCAACCAACAACGCGGACAAAAATTGTATACCTACAGATATTATAAGTAGATACCTACTACCTACCTATATAATTTGTATGAATTCGTATTCAACTATTCCAAAATGTGCTTAAAAAATCCGAATTTTCCGGTAGAACTGTAATGATTAACTGTTCAAGGATTTTAAATATTTAAGAATACCTACGGCAAAATTAGCGTGACATTTATTATCATCAGCGAATGCGGTCACAATTGCTAAATAAAATTCTCTAAGAGCTTATAAGAACATATTAACATAAAATTACGATTTATTACAATATAATATCTTTATTATAAAGGTAACTGACGATAAACGATTCAAACAATTTTGACGGAAAATACCTAAAATGGCAAAACCGTATAGGTACCTACAATAGTATAATAGGTATAACATAAACGTTTCATTAACATATAATTCTCGATAATTCTAGTTCGGAGTGGCAATGAAGATAAGTTGCTATGGCGTTTCAACGACGGCGGTGCAAATATTTATAGCGTTTTTTTCTACTCCTTTCGGGTGGGTTACCTACAGTGATTTTTATTGCGTCGGACAAGCGACGTAAACTATTTTATTTCCAAGAGCGCAATGCAAAAACCGAAACGGTCTGATGACGTTTCATTTTACCGGACACAGATCGTAGAGTAATAATGATAATAATAATAATTATTATTATTAACAGTGTAATAACTAACAGATATATACGTACACACACTATTGCAATAACGATCTTACACTCCA